AATGACGCAGCTTGAGAATGAGTTAACCGCTGACAGGAAAAAGCTGGAAGACGCTGAAAAGACCTTAATCTTCAAAGATACAGTGATCTCAGGACTCCAACAACAAAATGCTAGCTTGTCAGGAAACGTAACATTTTACGGTAGCGAGCTTTCTAAGATGCATACTCTGAACAAGCTACAAACGGAGAGAGCAAAGCAGCTTGAATCTGCATTAATAGCTGCAAAGAAAAAGCTGCAGGAAACTGAGCCCTGCTTAAAATCTAGTGAAGGTGATGTTTTACCGGAGAAAAATGATTCAACAGAAGAAGCGATGAAGTTAAACCAGATAATAGAGAATCTGAACATGGAGCACGAGAGCGAACTTGCTGTTTTGCATGATAAACAAATCAGGACAGATAAAGGCCGACGGGACGCCATCAGACGGGCCGACCAGCTGAAAGTTAATCTGATGTCAGAGAAGAACAAAGCAGGAGAGAATGAGATCTGTTTGGCCAAGCATATGGAAGAAACGTCTGTGTTACAAGCTACTCTGCTCCAAATGCAGAAAGAATTTGATGAACAAAAGCAGCAGTGGGAGCAGGAAAAATGCCGGCTTCTCACCAACAAACAAGATGCAGCCGAGGTAGAAAAGCTGAAATATCAGCTGGAGTCGCAGAAAGCTACACATGAGGTTGAGGTTTCTGCGCTGTACAACGAGCTGGTCAAGAGGAAGAAAGACCATAAAGATGCCATCAAAAAGGCAGAAGAGCTGGAGAAAAACCTGACTGATGTGAAAAATAGAGCAAAAGAGGCAGAGGACTGCTTAGCCAAGCAAACAGAGGAAATATCTACCCTTCAAGCTGCTCTCATCCAAACAGAGACAGCGTTAGCAAACCAGAAACAACAGTGGGAGCTGGAAAAATCCCAAGTCATGACCAGCCAACACCAAAGAGATGAGGTGGAGCAGCTAAAACAACAGCTGGAGTTACAGAAAGCTGAGGCAGAACAGGAGAAAGCCGCTCTCCATTTGGAGCAGCAGAAAATGAACCAATGCCATCAAGATGCTGCTAAAAAAGCCACTGAACTAGAAATGACTTTGGGTGCTGAGAACGCTAAACACATACAAACAATGACATCCTTAGTCGAGAAAATGCGGGAAAGCTGTAAAATAAAGGCTGCTTTAGTCAAAATGGAGCAAGATATGGAGAAACAAAAAGATCTCTGGGACCAGGAAAGACTCAGACTCCTGGAGCAGCAGGAAACTCTTAGGAATGAGAAAGCAGCTATGAAAGATGGTCTACTCAATGAAAGGCAGGAGCAGCAATCAGAGAACACCTGCCCTCAACAGACCATTTTAGCATCCAAAGACGCTCTGGAAGAGCTACAGGAGGAGAATATGTCAACAGAGAGCAAAGAGGATGAACTGAAAAATCAGCCAGAGAAGATCAACAACTTACAAGGAAAACCTGCAAAGAAAACGTTTGGGAGAAAATTGAAAAATCTCTTTAAACGCTCTAAAAAGGAACATTGAAACCTCATGAAACCTCCTCCAACCAAACCATCGGTTTCTCCAAGCTTCAATTTGCTCTTCTTTTTTTTTTGACACCCATCTAGGGTGTCACCTTTTCTAACTTTTTTCTTTACCACCACTCTTTTCACTTTTCATTTAAACACTGTAGAATAAAAAAAAAATCTAAAAAAAAAAACAATAAAAAAAAAAATATTAAAAAAACACAAAAAAACAAAAAAAAACACACACAAAAAAAACCAAAACAAATACACCTACAAAACACACACACACACACACACACACACACACACACACACACACACACACACACACACACACACACATATAATCCTGCCATGAGGATCACAGTACTATGTGCTCCTGATGCTGGTCCCAAGCCCAGATAAAAGGAGAGGGTTATGTGAACATGTCAGCCTGATAGCTAGATAGAAAAACAGACAGAGCAAAAACATTTACATGTCATTAAAGGTATTGTGGAAGATTTACACAATTTTTTTTCAAATCCACATGCACGACCCTGTACCCGGTCCCAAGAGGGAACCCTATTAAACCCATGTGAGAAAATGCATGAGCCCAATTCTCCTTTTGAACGCTGTTTAAAAGTTGCTGTTCTCATAGCTCATTAAAGCTTACAGAGTCCAAATGCCCGCCCTAACCCCTAAATTCCTCAATCATTATATAGAGCGGGGACTATATAGGGGACTTTATAGCGAACTGTCTTCACTAACACTATGTTATTCCAGGCTACAAGCAAGATGGACAATCACGAACTAGCTAGGATTGTGGGTGTCTGTGTGTTGGTTTGAAGAGCTTGCTCTCCGTCTACAACCCCTCATCCAACGCGGGACCACGCGCAGTTTAAGTTAGTTAGTTAGTTAGTTAGTGTTCCCGAAAGACTGGCCATAGACTGGCTTCGGGTGCAAACCAACAGACCGTCCCACAGAGCTACGAACTAGCATCCTGCACGGTGTCTGGGATAGTGTCTGAGATGTGCCAGCCGTTGTGGAAGGCACAACAGCCAGAGTTTCTGCCATTAGGTACCACAACAGGAAATACACAGCGGATGTAGAATTGACCAATCAGAGGCCTCCTGTTTGCGGCACGATATACGGTCACGACCTTGTTTTCTAAGCATAAACCAGGCTTTTTTTGCCGCTGCCGACTAGTGACAGCAGGCTGCTGTGACAGCAAATCCCATAATGCTTTGCAAGTAGAGCTCTCAGCGCAAAGCATTCTGGGATAGTGCGCATGTGCAGAATAAGATAGCTAGTGGGACGAGCAAGTAGGACGGCCTTACATAAACATATCACCAGAACGATTGACAATTAGGAGGACCACTTATTTACATGATCCACCTGGAAATAAAAGATCGTCTTCTATACCTTTAAGTTCTGCCAGGTTTATATTTGGGACAATGCAGAGAAGCTAAACCTGGGGTCTCTTTAATTGAGCAGTTTAAACGTTTGTTGAAATAGGGTCTGATCTAGTATGTTAGAGTTTCTAACTGTGTTCTGAAACCTTGAATTTCCTTCTATTTTCAAAAAAAGAAAATTAGTTATTAGGCTGACAAAGAAGCCAAATGACAAAAGTGGATCCCTTTCTATTAGCATGTTTTTAAAACAAAAACAAAGTTTTGTTGGGCTACTGAGAAAGCCTCAAACTCAACGCTATTCCTTACATTTTGAATTGAAAAAGGGTTTTCCCTTAAATCTCAACAGGGGTATTTCCTGTTGAGATTTCAGCCTTCTTGTCAGCTGATTGGTCCATGCCTGAGCTAACTGTTCCTTTGGCTGGAATTTTCCAGAAGTCTCAGGAGCGTCCTTTGTTCTCTTTGTGCAAAGGGAAGGGGGATGGTTTGAAATTGTTCATCAAATTAATTTGGCTCCATTGTGGCAATATATCCTAACAAACCCAACAGTTTATATGAATTGAAAGCTCAATTTTCCGACTACTTTGAAAAATAGTTTGAGATTGGTCCAAGGATGAGGGAGGTCTTATTGGTCTCCATCTGATACGCTCTCGCCTGTGTCCGACCATTCAGACATTTCAACATCTTTTTCTGAATCCCACATTGTAGCATGGCATAGATAATTCACGTTTGCAGTTTAAAGAACACCTGCTTGCTTCTGATGATACCTTTAGCTATGAAAACAGGAGCTTTCCAAAGCTTTCTAGGTTAAAACTAAGTGTGTAATTACTGCCATTCATACAAAGGGTTTGTTGCATATTTGTACCTACTCCTTACATCCTTACCTACAGTACTACACTTTAACCTAAAAATCAAGCCATCCTGATTGTACATATGACACCTCAAATCTCTGTGTTACTCCCTTGTATTTCTTAATTATTTTTTTTTTATATATGTACACGTGCACCTTAATCCTTATTTATCTTGATATACTGTATATACCTTGATACACTGTATATATATTGTTTATTCTTAATGCACCTTTTTCCTCCTTGTTTTGCACCTTCTTTAATTACTATGCCAATATGTGACAAGTGAATTTCTCCGCTGTGAGATCAATAAAGCTCATCTAATCTAATCTAACAATGGGCATCCATGGGTTAAAGGACTTTTATTGTGGAATTATTATTAGTGTATGAAACTATGGGTTCTGTCATTAGCATGGAAGAATAGGAAACATTTTATTGCATGATAACCAACATTTGTGGTTCTGCTGCCAATTTGCAACATTTATTTCGTGACATAATTTATTTCACATGCGATCTCAGTCAAATCAAACTGCTTCTTAATTCACATTATTTCCCCTTTTATAGAACAGAAAATCTCTTTATTGTTGCACAATGGTCAAATTTACAGCAGCAAAAAGATTATTGAAAATGGTCACACAAATGGGGACCTTAGATAAATATATAAGAATAACATAATAGGGAAGAGTTAAAATATAAACAATAAAATACTGTAAAGTGTTTCAACAATATTAAACTATGCACCTGGAGAATTAATAACCAATATGCAGCTATGGACATTTTTACAGTAATGAATATTTGAAAATAGCAGCAACATCAGAGATGTGCAAAATGACAGGAGCATGTTATATAACTAAGGTTTATATCATTACATTTGATTTAATTTGTTCCTGCTCCCGGTGGTTGGCACCTTTATTCCACTCAATAAAAAAGAAAGAAATAAACAAACTGTTTTGAAAACTTCGGTATTCATTCTTTTCCTGCTCTGTATGTCAACTATCACGGTTGCTAAGCAACATAGCCTACGGCGGTAAAACCCGTCGAAGGGTAGACCTGTTTGAATCCACAGCCAAAACTCTTCCGGTCTCCTCATTTTCATGGACTTCGAAGGATCGCTTTGAGATGCTCTTTTTTTTTTTTATCAATCAAAATGGTTGAAGGATTTTGGTTTAAAGTAATCTTTGAAAAATTGAATTTTTCTTGGTGAAAGGCTTGTATTCACCTTAAAGTTAGTTAGTCTGTTTTGCTTCAAAGAATAAATTCTACAATGTATTTCTTAAAGATTAGTTTATTCACATTTTAACCTTCCACAAATGGGAAAAAAAGACATTAGAAGTTGACATCCACTGAAAATGAGAAAAGAAGTTTAGGAGGAGTGAAAATCTTGGACACTGTCAGTCAAAACTAATATCAATCATCAGTGCAATTCGTTCCATAATACGTTTCTCTTCATTTAAACAATTTTAAACAAGCAATGTCAGCTGAACCGCTAACAGCTTTAACCACATCATGTTGAACAAACACATTTAAACTCTTATAAAAGACGTATGTAGTAAATAAGAAGGAGTGTGTGTCCTCTCAGCCGATTGTCACATCTGGATGTGCAAAACTGTGGTAAGGGTTAAAAACAAGCTCACTTTCTAATAAGAATCCTCAGTGCATAGAAAAATACAACAACTTGGAAATTAACTGGACTAAACAAATTCCCATGATGAATTTCCTGAAATTTCCCCACTGTGGGACAATAAAGGACATTTCTATTTCTATTCTCTTCAATAATAAAAGCCCATCAGTGTTTAAAACACTAAACATCTGGCTGAAAATAAAACTAGTTCCCTTGTGGTCAAAACCAAATCATTTATCCACAGCAGTTTATATTCCACTGCTGTAGCAGAAGAAGTCATAAAAATCTAAAATAGTCCAGCATAGCTGAGATGACCAGGGAGAGAGAAAAAAACCCCAGCATATTTAAAATGTGTAAGACCGTTCACTCTGCCAACAGTCGCATCTTTGGCTGAGTGTTTTGTAAACTTTCCAATATAGCATGGCTTTTGGCATCTTGTTCCATATCCTGAGTCTGTGTCTCAGAACACGATACAAGCTGGGTCCTTTTTCAGGGAGTTCATCAGTGTTTCTTGACTTGTAGCAGAGGGGTTCGTTCTCCAGTTGAAGTGCTAGTGATTTCCCTTGGTACAGTGGCACCTTCACTAGTCTTTCCCTATGGGACGAATAGAAAGAAAGTTATTTAGCAATGATTGTGATAAACTAGAGGAATATTTCACTTTTCTAAAAAGTTAAAAAACAATCCACAAGACAAATGACTTCAATTCCAAATGGGTGGACCACTTCGTCCGTTTCAATTTGCATGTTTTCTAAGCAAAAACAAGGCTTTGTTGGTCCCCTCTAAAAAGCCTCAAACTCAACACTATTTCTGAAACGTCTTCAAACTTGGAAGTCCAGTGGATTATTTTTTAACTTTTTTGGACTGACTATGACCTGGATGAATGAGAATCTTCACCAGCAAATATTTCACTTTCAAAGACTTATCAGAATTCTTTATTATTATAAATTGTAGTCCCTCCTGTACAGAGATACAGAGATGATAAAACCTCAAAAGGTTCTGACTTTGGCTCAGTTTTTTCTAAAAAAGAACAACAAAAAACCCTTTTGTTGGGGTTTTTGCCAATGTTGTCGACTCACACCAGAGTAATCTGATGTTTTTAGGCACTTTGTAATATATTATATATCAAAATGAAAGCAAATTAAAGTTGAATAATATAATATATGTGTTGTCTCTTTCACAATTTTTTCCCCACAGAGCCCACTGTGCTGGTATCTTATATATATTATACAATTTGTTTTTACAGTTTAATCAAATTTTTACACTTAAAAAAACACATGCCTGTATTTTTTTACATGGTCCCCCATTTTCTTGGTTTTTGAACAGTTGCATCGCATACATTATGAATTCATTTAAGTTAAAAGAAAAATCTCAAACAAATATGACAGTAATTCGGTCGGTCCAACGATAAACACCTGCAGAAATGCTACAATCAAACAAGACAACAGACACAAAAACAGAAACAATGACACAAAAGAACCGAGTCAGACACAGGGGGTTTTAGTAGTTCTGCAGGAGTCTGGCATCAGCAATCCCTCCCAATGTACTGTCTGTGACATGTATGCCTTTGAGTGTAGACCTACCTGAATAAGTGCTACTTTTCTCCTGTGTTTCAAAGCCATGTGAGTCTTTACCCTGCTCATTACTGGTTTCCTAAAAGATGATCAAATTACCTTACACATGGGCCAATTAGAAGATATTAAGAAAAAAAACACTGTAATGATTGGAATAGTTATTTCAGTTATAGTCCATGCAGGGATTGTTTTCTGTAGTGATCGAGCGGCCATGCAGAGGATTAAGAGGACAAGTGATTGGTTAATTAAATTAAAGACGTGATTAGTTACATGGAATTCCAACACAATCTTGGGAGCTGTAGAAAAACTCCATATCAATTAAGATATCACTTGTGTAAATGTAAAAACTAAATATTTGAAATGATTAGTTAGCTAAATTGGTATTTAGACAAATTAAAAGCAGGTTAGATTAGAGACCCCCCCCACCCCCCACCCCCAAATAAACCCCCCCAAAAAAGTGAAATGATGTACAAATGAGATTGGTCATAGGAACCTTAGGTCCTTAGGATGTGCTCCAGGGTTCCCCTTTACCCATTTTCTTTTTCACGGTTTCCCTGTGTTTATGACCTGCGTAATAAACCACTTAAACTCCACAGGACTCAAAGATTTTATCTTCCCAAACAGAAATGAGGTTTTTTGAGATGATGAAGGAGGAAATGTCACTTTCTGCAGTGACAAAGGAAACTTCAGGGCTAATTTTGTGTTTTGTGATCATCAGGCAACAACTGCGGTGTTATTGCTTGGCACAAACAAGTCATTCTTTTGTCCAAACTACCAGCTTAAACATACAAATGTTCTATACTTGGGCTATGTTTTTATTTAATTTATTTAAGTTTATTTTTCTTTTATTCTGAATCAATTGTCATGAATTCCTAAAGATTAATTCATATAACCGAAGATCCACTTGAAGAAAAATAAAAACATTTTCCACTTTCTACTAACCCCAACTAACTTTTTAATTTGCTGAAGAATGTTTATTTAATACTGGTATGAATATGTTTCATAATTTCACCGTCATGTATTTCTGGTAACAGCTGAAAAACAAAGGTTTTCAATCCCAGTAATTTAATTTGAGGGTAGATCAGAAAGAATCACTTCTAAATCTTAAGTGGAACCAAATTGACTCTTAAAATTTGAGTTAGCCTCAGCAAACTCTATTGACTTCTTGTTCTGAGGCTCCCACTTTAACACTTTCGCAAGATAAACATCTTATGAAGGAAGTTCCAGGAAAATAAAAAGTGAAAAACCCATAAAAACTAGGATTAAAACTAGTGTTGCACCGATACCAGTATCGGACGGGGCCCCGATACTGCCCTAAAATGGTGGTATCGGTATCGGCGAGTACCAACAAATAGGGCACCGATACCATTTAGAGAGCAAAAAGTTTATTCAACTATTGTCACCCACTCCTGGTAGGCAATAAAAAGTTATACTGGATTCACTTTGTATTAGATTTTTTCCTGCTTCACAAAGGTAGGCAGCAGCTCGACAAAGCCATGATGGCAATTATTTTACATTATTATGGTGTCGGTATCGGCCGATACTGCACAGCCAGGTATCGGGTATCGGGGCCAAAAATGGCATCGGCGCAACAATATTAAAACAGTCATTTCTGATACAGCTTATAATTGGAGTAGCTCAGGTTATAATGAGCTATCACTTTAGTTATGCTGCTATGGGCTTGGGCTTCTGGAGGACATAGTGAACATTTTTCATCTAAAATCCTGCAGTATTTGGGGTCAAAATCCAAGTCTTTTCTCTCTGCTTTTACTCTTTATAGTAGCTCCATTTGTCCTGTTGTTTGTTCTATGGGCCAAATACACCCAGATACCAGATTTATCAATTTTCCACCATAAGAAAATGCCCCTAGCATAAACCCTCTGCATGGGAAGTATGCCTCTATGAATTTTAATTATGAGAAAAAGCATGATCCAGGGAGGATCAATCGAACTGCATTGAATGATGTTACAAGAAACAATTTACCATTGGATTTACTAAGATCAGACAAAATATTAACATTTCCCGTAACCATTATTTGTCATTCTTGGTCTTGAAATTATTTTGAACTCGATCAGATCCAAGGTGACATAAAAAAAAAAAAATTGATTTATTTAAATGTAATACATTGTTGTTATAGATCATTAACCAAACAGATCTTGTTGTTATTTTCATCTATAGAGCTGTTGTTCTAACTGATCATGACCCATCCCTACAAACATCTATTTCAGTTTCATCTGTTGTTCCAAAGAAAACCATGTCTATAGCTACTGGGACCCCAGTCTTTATGAAATCTACTGTTTATAAGAGTGAGTCTGAAGGCTCATCGCTCCACCATTCATTAATAATAATCTGATGTTCAAAGTGATCCGAAAAACTGTTTAAATTTTAATAGGATTTTGATTGAATGTGATTGAAGACCTAAATTACCTGACAATCAGAGACATATGCAATGATTCGGAAAGAGAATTTCAAACAAACCCGTCTTGAAAAATCGTGATCATTAAGTTCCTACAGAAAGCATCTAAAATCGGAATCTATTATTTGAATTTGATGATTCGCATGAGGCGGCTGTACAAACCCCGTAGTTCGTTAAGACTGGAGAAGTCATTGCGCTATTACTAGACCTCTGCAAGCAAATTAAGAACTTTAGTCAGACATTTGAAAATATTTAACAACTCAATGAAATGTAAAGGAGGGCAATCAATCCCCTCTATACTAACTGAATTCTAACTTTTACTTATTGACCTTTAAAAGCTTTATTTATAGCCCTTTACAATAATATATCATCTGTTTCATAACACAGAGTATTGAAAAACACAGATAAACCTGACACTTTATTTGCGAACATGATTAGGTCACTGAAATTGTTCTTGATCATCCAATAAACAGTCGGTGATGTCAAAAATTACTTAAGCAACTTCTAAACAAACAATTCACTAGCTTATCAACAGAAGTAGAATCCAAACTGATTCTGAGCTGTCCAATCAGAGCGCAGCAGTGTGAAACACGGATGATAAGTCATCCTGACGACTTTGGCCTCACTGATTAACACTGCTGCATGATGTCGTAGATAATTCCGCCATAACTGATAAGCTCTTATTCACACGTCAACAGGGATGAGATAAACGGGCAGGAAGCAGAACTGAGCAGCAGGGTTTCAACAGACGGCAGCTTGGAACAGATCTGGACTTTTTAACTTTCTTTGTCAGGTCAGTCAAAGCAGGGTTCAAAGATTAGCGTGAGGAAACACAAAGCAGGATTCAGGGAGGAGCAGGAGTGACTGGAGGTCTTCAGTGAATCTTTTGAATGGCACCTGAGATGTAAATATATCCTTTATAGCCAATCATTTGCTTTAAACTTCTGGTTCTATATGTGGCCTTTATTGGAAAGATTGTGTCAAAAGCCTTTTTAGGCTCAGTAATCCTCAATAGGTCTCTCCTGCTCCATTCCCATCTGCTTGTGAGAAAGCATGGTTAAAACCATGAAATGAGCCACATGCAGAGCAGCAGCAGCAGCATATTGAGGGGGGGGGTTCCTACCTTGACCTTGTAGAAAACAAAGACAGCCACTACAATGGTTAGCAGGCCGAGGGCTATGAAGATGTACTGCATGTACTCCATGACAGCAGGCAGAATAACCAGCTGGGTTTTAAACGTAGAGAGGATCGGCCCATCGATGTACCCATTCTATGGTAGCAGGAGGGGAAAAAAACAGATGTTTTTTACTCCGGATTTGTGTCAGAGAGATAAATGATGCATATAAGTTATAAAACATGGTTTCACTTGGCAGAAAATTGTCGAAGTTTAAAGTAGAAGCTGAAACTAAATGCAAAATGTAAGATATTCACTTACGGTTTTGACTGTAACTGTTTTTATTCCATTCAGTTCAGTTTACTTAGATATGGACAATTTACAACCTACGTCACCTCAAGGCTATTAACAGAAACAAGTCAATTAGATCATCTGGTCAGGTTGATTAAAAGTTTTCCATTACAGGAAACCCAGTTGATTGCTTCCTGTTATAGACTTTGCAAAAATATTTCATTAACAGACATGCGTGGAGTGACAGTGAAGAGGAAAAACTCCCCATTAACAGAAAAAAAAAACTCCAGCAGAACCAGGTTTCTTCCTGTGGCCGACTGGGGGTTCAAGGAGACAGAATGAGACGTGCAAAAGGAACATAGAAGCATTGATCTATAAATACTATTTTCTGGTAGAAAAGGTAACAGTAAACTAGCTCTATAGGCGCCTCTGTCTGGGAAAGAAACAGCTATGCAGACGAGCTCTGAGCCAGTTTTCCTGTCTAGGAGAGAAGCAGGACTAAACACTATGTTTCTATTGACATTTTTTTTTTTTTTGCATCGCATTAAAGATATTGTGGAGGATTTTCGCAGTTTTTCTAAAACAGCCGCCCTCTCCACCTTAAAAAAAATAATGCACATGCACAACCCTGTAGGGGGAACGCTTATTAAACCTGTGCGAGAGCATGCACGAGCCCATTTCTCCTCGTGCACGTTCTGTTTAAAAGTTGCTGTACTCATAGCTCAAACAAGCTTACTGAGTCTGAACGTCCGCCCTAACCCCTAAATCCCCCAATCACCATATAGGGCGGGGATTATATAATGGACTTTATAGTAAACTCAGTTAACTGACCGTTGGAACAGATGATCACTGCTTTCTGCTCCGTTGGTCATGTAACTCCCAACTCCTGCGCCATCTTTGTTATTAGTCTCCCACGCCTGGTAGTGACAGCGGGCAGCAGTGACAGCAAATCCCATTTGCTTTGCGAGGAACTATTCTAGGATATATTTTAGGGCTGAAACGATTCATGGAGTAACTCGAGTAACTCGATTACAAAAAATCCTCGAGGAAATTTATCTGCCTCGAAGCTTCGCTAAATTTATTGTATTGTAATAAGCAATGCTGTTAAATACGCAGCACACTGGTCTAGCCGGAGGGTTTTTGTGTTGCACAACGCTACCACTTCCGTTAGCGCCTGGAGCGCTTGTGCTAAGTTTGTAGCTATGGAGGGAACCGGAGAATGCTCAGAAGGAGAACCTCGAAAGCGACAAAAAATGTCAAAAGTTTGGGAACATTTTAGGCTAAACAGAAAGGAAAACACAGCGCAATGCATCCACTGCAAAGCAGAATTGGCGTACCACAACAGCACGACATCAATGTTGCAGCATCTGAAGAGAAAACATCCGCTACATGCATCCAACTCGTACACGGTTGCCAACAGGTAACGTTTATGTTCTCTTTGCTAACTACGTTGTGTGATAATCTGCCATGTTATAGATGTAAATTGAGGCACATTATTTTGCTAACGTTACATCTAAACATAGCGGTTACTTAACCGGGTGTAGTGTAAATTGTATGTGAGGGTGGAACTGAGAGAAATTATGCAGGACTTAATGTAAGTTTGTTAATAAAAATACGCAGCAACAGATTACAGGCATAAGCTGAAAAGCATTTATTTATTGGTGTCTTTCCATCCTGAAAAGTTACAGTCTTTTCTTCTCGCTACTGTTATGTATGAATTAGAAATTTTTGATTAATATTTTTTGTGGTAAAGTTTTTGCAGTTAAGAATTCAGGAAATCTGTTCTACCTCAGATTTGAAACTTATAATTTGAATGTATAAAAGGCAGTATTCTTTGGTTTGCCTTAACTTTTCTATTTAAAGCTAATGAATATTTTTTTACTCTTTTGTGTTAGCACTGAAAAAAGCAAGGAATTTGTTGCACCTTAGACTTAAAATATATTGTATAAAATGCAGTATTTACTATTTTGTCTAAACTTGTTTTATTTTTAAATCAAGTATTTTCTTTATTTATCTTTTCTGTTTGAACTTTAGAACAAAAAAGCAAGAGATTTGCTGTACTACTGATTTGAAACTTTACTGGACGTTTAATGTTATTGCGTTATCAATAAAATGTTAGAGTTAAATGAGTTGTTTACTTAGTTCTTTTACGTGTATGTGTATTACTCACTGAAGATAAATACATAAACTAAAAGCTGGAGTATAGACAATTTTATAAGCATATTTGTGAGCCTGCCACTTTATTATTTGAATATAATTTAATATCTTATAACTTTTCTTCAGGTTAAAGCAAACTACTGTTACAAGTAAACTTTCTAAACTACAAACATTTAACTGTTAGGGATGCTCAAAAAGGAGATATTGGACTGATCTGGACTAACTGGTGTTATTGCAGATTTGCCAGTAGTTTATTTTATAAATTTTTTTTATCCGATTACTCGATTAATCGTAAGAATAATCGATAGATTACTCGATTACTAAAATATTCGTTTACAACAGCCCTAATATATTTGCCTCTTCTGAGGTCTTTCTTTTTTTCTCAGACTTCGTAGACACTTTCTCTCTTATGACCCTCTGCCATTTTAAAAGAACAGCTGTGAGAAAGATTAGCTTCAATGGCTGACAGAAACCGTAGTTCACCACAGATATACACGCCTGAAAGTGCAAATACGCAGATAAAGATAGCTAACTGCACGAGCACGTAGGACGGCCTTACGTAAACATATCACCAGAATGATTGACAATAAGAAGGACCACTTATTTAGATGATCCACCTGGAAATAAAAGATCGTCCTCTATAAGTTTTATGTTTACTTGTGGTTGTTTTTGTCCGTAAAAACGTAAATGCACTTAAGAGGAGATAGAAAAACGTTTAGAAAAAGGTTCTAATGTAGCGAATGACTGATGTAGAGTTTTACCGCAACTGCTGGCTTCCTGAATGCAGCATTAGAATCATGCTTCTCTCCAGTATTGCCAACTCAGTGACTTTGTCGCTATATTTAGCGACTTTTCAGACCCCTCCAGCGACTGTTTTTCACAAAAGCGCCTAGCAACAAATCTGGCGACTTTTTACGGTGTCACTGGCGGCTTTTGGAGACTCTTACGTGAAAGCATGTATCGTTCCTACTCTTGTCCTCCAGCGGCAGCTGCTGCCGTGGGGCGCCTCCCCCATCCCAACCCCGTCCTCCCGCTCCCACAGGAGTCCCTCTCAGCGCTGCAGTCAGAGCCGCAGGATGTTTAACCTCAGTGTCCAGACTGCAAATGAAGCGCGCATGCGCCGGGATTGACGGTGCAAATTGATCACGCAGCCACCAGTCAGTCACTTTATCACCTTGTTCATTGTGTTTTCCTCTCTAAGATTAACATTGATCTGCTGGTGAGAATCATTATGTCTCAGTCTAAACTGTACAGTCAAAAATACAGAAAAGAGTGGGAATCAAACCCTGAAAAAAGTAGCTCCATATATTGTTTAGTAAAAACACTATTATATAGTGTTTTTAGTAAAAACACTATATAATAGTGTTTTTACTAAAAACACTATTATATAGTGTTTTTAGTAAAAACACTATAGTATAAAAACACTAATAGTAAAAACACTATTATATAGTGTTTTTACTCACTTTTTGTCTTTCTGTAACGACATTATTTCTCCCACAGCATCAATAACATGTACGTCACTTCCTGTGGCCGATTATGCAAATTAGTTTATGACGTCATTAGCGACTTCTAGCGACTTTTAGCACAGCCAATAGCTAGTTTACTTAGTCACGAGTTGGCAACACTGCTTCTCTCTCAATACGTCTCCGGATGCCATGAACCATCACTAATACTGGCTGAAATGATAAAGTAGGTACAATTTGCCTAATTGAAACACATTCATTAAAATCTCGGTCCACTACCGATCTGTGATCCGCGCTAGCTTGTTAGCTCTACTTCCTGTTTACTACAGTCAAGCACAACCTCAGTATATGATGAATCACGATTTGCATGGCCTCGTTCATTTGCTCAAATGGATGGAAACTGAATCTCATTTTCTCTTCTTTGTTTTTTTTTCATCAAAATCTGCATCACGTTGGGATGAAAACAAAATTTTAAATTTATATAATTCAAATCCTTCTTCTAATACATGAACTGAGGCTTCGGATTTGTTTTTTTCGGCTAATACTTTGTTTTATTTTCTTTTGCGCTCTTTTCTACTGAGCTACATCCATCTTTCGAAAAACTTCAGCTTCTCTGTCCCTGCTCTGCCCACTGGTTTTTAAGATGTTTTTTGCTCACTAATGTTCTTTAACAAACCTTTACATGGTATCTGGAATATTACAGATTAAACCATGTGAGCATTTTGATCATACCTTAAACACTGCAAAAAACTATCTAGAAATAAGTACAGATTTCTTAAATTAAGTGTATTTACCCTTAATTTGAGTAAGTAAATAAGAAGATTTGCCAATGGAATGAGTATTTTTGCTCTTAAAATAAGATAAGTTAAAAATGCACTTGAAATAAGACAATGCAGTTTCTTTTTTTTAATGTAAATTGTGTTGTTCTATTGGCAAAGTGTCTCACTTACCCCCTAAATCCAAGAAAATATGCACTTATTTTAAGAAAAGATTTGAATTTTTTTGCAGTGGATTATGCTTGCACAATAATTGATATTGGATTTAAATGACAGGTCCTTATAAAAAATAATTTACTTCTTCTTGAGAATATTGCAGAAAAAATAAATCATATAATAATTTCCATGGGTAATGCTAAGAAAGTAGTCCATGCATTTGTTACTCGAAGGCTTTAGTCGTAAAATTCTTTACTACCATGAAGTCCTATAAATGTTCTTCCGTGTGGATGATGTTTAACCACATCCTGTAATTTCTGCCAGTAACATGTGAACATCAAACTCAATATAAGATAGCACAAAGATTTCAACTTTCCAAGTAGAAATTGGATTTCCAGAGAAAAAGATATTTGGTTTCTCTTCAGTGATAAGAGAAACATCAAGCTAATCTTGAGTTTTGTGAACAACAAGCTCAGTGCAAATAAAACATAAGGTTTTATTAATTGGCGCAAAGGTTTATTTCTTTTTTCATTCATGCCCTTCATGATTCAAATATGAATCATGAAGGGCATTGCTTTAATCACAAGCAAAACCTCCAAAATGTGCTCAATAGCTGCTTTCGAATTGTTAAGTTTCATGAAGCCAAAAAGCGAAAACTTAAAAATAAATTTTGTTACAACGGTTGCAATCAGGGCTTAACTTTAACTGCTTCAGCAGTGGCGTAACACATTCACTCTGAAAAGCCACTTTTGATTTCTACATGCATTTTTGTAATTAGAGTTTTCTCAAATAGGGTTTGAATTAATAAACAAATTGAAATGCAACACTAGAAATCCCATGAGCCTGCTTGTGTTTTCTTTTCTTTGGTCCGTTTGTGAGCAATGTCACTATAGACGGGGAGATCCTGTGGAGAGCACGGCTATGAAACTGTGGGGCAGTGATGTGGCGGCACATTCCAGGTTTCAGAGGATCATTAACACTAATTCTAAAATATTTAAGAACATAAAAGACAAGAAATACTAATGCCATCTATAATGTAGTGGCAGGATCCAAGCAGGACTTCCTCAACACCTATTTCGCTGGTATCTGATGAAAATTAAAAAGACAGATCATATTTCTTCAATCTTAGCTTCCCTTCATTGGCTTCCTGTTTAAATTTGCTGAATTAAGATTTTACTGTAACAATCTTTATGTGGTCTATTTAATCCCTTCTAACCTTTCCTTTTTAGTTTATCACGTCCTCTTCTAACATAAAAAGTACTTATCAATTAGTGCTTTTATATTCCTTTTGCAGGTCTGGTCCTGTCTCCTTGAACCCCCAGTCAGAGGCCTGAGTCTGGTTCCCCATTGTTGCCGTACACTACCGTTCAAAAGTTTGGGCTCACATTGAAATGTCCTTATTTTTGAAGGAAAAGCACTGTACTTTTCAATGAAGATAACTTTAAACTAGTTTTAACTTTAAAGAAATATCTATACATTGCTAATGTGGTAAATAACTATTCTAGCTGCAAATGTCTGGTTTTTGGTGCAATATCTACATTGGTGTATAGAGGCCCATTTCCAGCCACTGTCACTTCAGTGTTCTAATGGTACAATGTGTTTGCTCATTGGCTCAGAAGAATAATTGATGATTAGAAAACCCTTGTGCAATCATGTTCACACATCTGAAAACAGTTCAGCTCGTTACAGAAGCTGCAAAACTGACTTTCCTTTGAGCAGATTGAGTTTCTGGAGCATCACATTTGTGGGGTCAATTAAACGCTCAAAATGGCCAGAAAAAGAGAACTTTCATCTGAAACTCCACAGTCTAGTCTTGTTCTTAGAAATGAAGGCTATTCCATGCAAGAAATTGAAGATTTCCTACAACGGTGTGTACTACTCCCTTCAGAGGACAGCACAAACAGGCTCTAACCAGAGTAGAAAAAGAAATGGGAGGCCGCGTTGCACAACTGAGCAAGAAGATAAATACATTACAGTCTCTAGTTTGAGAAACAGACGCCTCACAGGTCCCCAACTGGCATCTTCATTAAATAGTACCCGCAGTAGGCTGTTTGTGTTTCTCTTTTTGTGGCCATTTTGAGCGTTTAATTGACCCCACAAATGTGATGCTTCAGAAACTCAATCTGCTCAAAGGAAGGTCAGTTTTGTAGCTTCTATAACAAGCTAAACTGTTTTCAGATGTGTGAACATGATTGCACAAGGGTTTCCTAATCATCAATTAGCCTTCTGAGCCAATGAGCAAACACATTGTACCATTAGAACACTGGAGTGATAGTTGCTGAAAATGGGCCTCTATACAACTATGTAGATATTGCAACAAAAACCAGAGCAGCTAAAATAGTCATTTACCACATTAGCAATGTATAGAGTGTATTTCTTTAAAGTTAAAACTAGTTTAAACTTGTCTTCATTGAAAAGTACAGTGCTTTTCCTTAAAAAATAAGGACATTTCAATGTGACCCCAAACTTTTGAACGGTAGTGTATGCATGTTTAGTGTTAGGGATTGCTGTATTCAACGTCATAATGCAAGCACATTACTTATTTTACCACATCCTGATCCAGGAGGAACAACTCCTGTACCTAGAGTCAACAACTTCATGCAATCAGCCTGTTTTCCTTAGAAAATTTTGAACCAACCCAACTGGATGATTCCACTGAATCATCTCTATAAATAGCGTTTTGTGAATTAGCTATATATAAATAAAGCTAGTTATCTAGGCATAACTTGAACATACACCAAAGTTTCTAATTCAATTTTCCCCAAATTGAAAAAGCAGTAGAATTTTCTAAGGCACTGTATGCTTTTTCTTTTAATGACGGCTCACCTCCTCAAACCACAGCATAGGCATCACCACCTCTGAAATCTTGCCTGTTTCTCTATAAAGCAAAGAATACAAAACTTCAAACATCACTGCAAAGAAAGCAGGTTTATAAAGGTATAATTCAGTCACATGTCCTTCATTTAAACTGTTGACAGGATATCAAAATAAAGAACGGCTGACAAAATTGATCCCCAAGCCTTACGTGATTCCTGATACTCTCTTCATGTAGAGGTTGAGCTGCAGACGGATGGACACGTTCAGGGGGACGCCTGTGAGCTAGAACAAAAAAAAAAAAAAACAGATCTCAAAAAGGGGAATAAAATGCATGTGCAATTATAATTATCTGTAAATGCACAAAACAATTGAACAATGTCCATGGAAATATTAAACAATTAAACAAAGGGAGGAAATCCTTATTGCCAAACCAGGATGGGGTTAAAGTAAACATCTTAACAGCACGTCACTTTAAAGCGTTTTGGTTTGTGTGAACGACCCATAAAGGGGGAAAAGACGTCAGCAATGACCTTAAAGAAACAACCAAAGCTGTCCGTCAAACTGAGAAATCTGTTACAAAACCTATCAGGAGGTTCTTGAGGACAGAGAAACAAAATCGGGTTTATAGGCAGTTTTCGAAATCACACAAGGTATTTGACTTCGATTCTGCTTTGTTTTTTATATTAAAAGTATAGATTTTAAAAAGTATTTTTGTAATTGTAAAGACAATGTGGGTTTGCTGGATGGGGACACACCTACACTCCCCCTTCCTCCCACAGCCCAAGAACAAGCATGTTAGGTAAACTGATTTCTCTAAATTACCCTGAGGTATGTTTGCGTGTGAACCCAATGAACCCTCGAGATAAGCGCCCCCCCCCCCCCCCCAGAACCCGCTACACTGATAGCGGTCTCAGATTAAGCCAATAGTAATAAAAGACATATATAACCTCAATAGTTAAAAAAAATGTTTTCAAGTGACAATTTAATTCATTCTATGGAAAATATAAAGATTTAAACAGATAAAAAAAACCTGCCTCACTCATTGAAAATGTCTCTGAAAAGCAAGACATCATGTCCCTAAAGAAAACCAAGAACAAGTTGGAATCATTTAGTCTTTAAAAAAACAATAAACAAACAAATAATCGTTTTCTAAGACCTTTAAACTCCAAAGAACAATTACCTTCCCAGCAGGTACTATTAGGTATCAAATAATAAATTAATCTAAACTTAACTGATCTTTTGGATCCATTGATTATAACTTAAGTGTTGTTTTCTAATTATTATTAGTATTAGTATTAAAGGTGTTTTAGGAGATCTTGGAAAAACGGTTCCATCAAGCTATATTTTTGAACATAAACAACCAAACCTCTCCCTTCAGACCACCCTTCGAAACCAGGCCTTCAAAACACACTGCAGCGCTGATGCAGCGATGCAGAGCGTTATGATTGCTCCTCTGAAACAGTTTATTAACACCTAAATTAACTTAAAATGTAGAAATATGCGAAAAACATGTTCCCTTTTATTATCCTGGTGCCTTCAGTTGGATTACATACATGAAAACCGCCTTCCAGCTGCCGCGGCAAACTGCGGGGAGGCGACCGGGCCAGAGGCTGCTGTTGAATGGGAATCCTAGTGACAGCGCTCCACCGGTGTACGGGGGTCTGAGAGGCTCCCACAGAAATAATATTTTAAGGCAGGATGGTAATCTGGATGAACTCAATGCACTGACCATGTTTTCAGGTGGACTCTCTCACTTCAAAATAGATTCAAACTACTTTTTACCCACTGATCAGAGCAAATATATACGGAAGAGGATTAGGGCCACTGAAAAAAAAAATGTTAACTGATTTTTAAATTTTATTTTAGTGTAACATAGGAAAAAAGTCAGAATTCTGACTTTATTCTCAGAATTCTGCCTTTTTTTCAGAATTCTGACTTTTTTCTCAGAATTCTGGCTTTATTCTCAGAATTCTGACTTTAATCTCAGAATTCTGACTTTAATCTCAGAATTCTGACTTTAATCTCAGAATTCTGACTTTAATCTCAGAATTCTGACTTTAATCTCAGAATTCTGACTTTAATCTCAGAATTCTGACAGCTTACAAACATGTTAGCATCAAGCCATAGCCATGTCTGTTTTAGAGACTAGCTCTCTTGTTTTAATGACCTTCTGCTCCTCCATTAATGAGGGGACCCCTCGGGCACGTAAAAAGTTGCCTTATTCCATCATTTTCCACCAATGTGTCACTGGCCCTCTCAAACAACTCACATCTTTGTCAGTGAAGCTGAGTGCTTCCTTCATGGTGCCCATCTACATTAAGATCCAAAATTTTGAGATTAAACTCAGAATTCTGAGATTAAACTCAGAATTCTGAGATTAAACTCAGAATTTTGAGAAAAAACTCAGGAATTTTCCCATATTAAACTGAAATAAAATTTAAAAATCAGTTAACTTTTTGTTTTTTTTCAGTGGCCTTAATCCTCTTCTGTAAATATAGCTGCCATTGTTACAGGCAAAGAAAGGATAGGGTAGCTCCACGAAATGCGCATCAGACCCACTTTATAAACAGGGTTTATACAGGAATGAGTAACTCTAATTTAATGCTTTTTAATGCTCTTAGAAATAATTTTAATGCCTTCAACAAGTACATATATATATATATATATATATATATATATATATATATAGACATATATATAAAAATATACACATACATACATAGAAATATATACACATACATACACACAGACATGCATATATTTATATATATATATATATATATATATATATATATATATATATATATATATTAGTGTTATTAGTGCTGTATATGAAATATATATAGATATATATTTTTTTAAAGGCCACCAATAATCATATTTAATTAATTTTAATGCCAGTGGCCTTAATTTAAAAAGTTCTAACTTCATGACTTTTAATGATTTTTAATAACCCCCAGAAACCGTGTTAAAATAAATACTCAGCTGGCTGGTGTTACTTTATTTCTTAACTCCAGGGCAGATCAGAAAAGCAAGGTTTGAATAAACAATGAACCCATCTGCCAAAGGGTTTATCTTTGTGCTCAAGCTGCCCTCTTATCCAAGCTGGATTTTTCTTTCTTATCGTTTTATTGGAAACGGACAGTTCTTTACGACCTCCCAGGTCATAAAGAGCTGCAATTAGAAGCAAATAGCCCAATTCCCAATTACCTTATCAGATTCTTTGTCATTGCCAAAAGATACGCCGCACGAGGTTTAGGTAGAGTTACATCACAGCAATAGCTCTGAGCAGTCTTATCGATCCTTACATCTGGAGCCAAGTGGGACAGAAACTACTTACGACTTGAAGGGTGGATCAAACAGAAGTAAAACGGTGTAATCAAAAATAATCTGTTGACTTTACCATGAAAACAAACATACAGAGTAAATTAAGCCTCGGGTCTTTTCCAAGCCGCAAAATGTTTTGTCCATCAAAAGGTTTAAATGGTTATAAAAATATTAGAATCACTTAAACGTTTACTTCAAATCATAAGAACAGCTGTATGGAAAACAGAAAGAGAGAAACTTGAATTTTAAGCCTAATGTTCTGAGAAATGTTTTCCTTTCAGCAGCAAAAGTAGGTGACCATGACACCAATAACTCCTGATAAACAATCAGTTTATCTCTTACCTCAAGGACTTCAAAGCTTCTATGGTCAATCAGCATTTTTGAGCTCAAAACAGTGAAATGGTACGTTTAGGAATAACAACACAACAGCAGCTTAATCCACACAAACAAAACCATGTTGGATCTACGTGATTCAGTGCAGGGACGGAATTAGGAAATGTGGGGCCCTAGGCAAAAACAGGCATGGGGTCCTCTGAATTGCAGAAATTTTATTTGAATAGACATACATTATTTGTTCTAGGTTTTGTCCCTCTCTTCTTGTCCCTTTTCTTGTTGTTTTCCTCTCTATGTATTGTACTCAGCTGACTTTTCATGCTGTCTCAAAAGGAATAAAAGATTTTCTCCAAGCACTAAGCTCACTTAGCCGATTGTTTCTTCCTGTGTTTCCAAAAAGGTGACGGCCAAAGTAAATAACCCAGTCCTTCTTTTCTCTGTAGACAAGCCATGATCTGCTTATCTGTTCTCCATTTTTCATTCGGATGAAATAATAGCTGCATGAATCATGACAGCAGACAAGATAGAGGAGAGCAGGAGGCGGGGTTACCAATCTACTCGCTCTGGAGAGCAGAGTTCGCTGCTTTTAAATGTTGTCACCAGAGTGTCCAGTAGCAGAAAAAAGTTGCCAGATTTGGCGCTTTTTTGAAATAAATGTTCTACAGGGGTCTGAAAATTCACTAAATATAGCTACATAAGCGCTAAGTTGGCAACACTGCTCTTCCCAGCGTTTGTTTTCAAATGGTTTGTTACAACATAATTAAGGTCCACAAATAAGGAATAGTTGTATTAAACATACATGTAAACAGATTTTTGCCTTGCCAACAGCCTTTAGTGTTGAGCTAATTCAAATTGAATTGGTCAACTTACTTCAGCAAAACTCAAACCTTTCCCTCCAAACTACTTATTCAATTTATCTATTAGTGAAGTTTTTAGGCAACCTCACAGAATTTGATTCCTGCTAACTGTGGATTACTGAGGCTCTCTACTTCCTGTGTGAGCTGCCCATTTGGTGCAGAGATACAAGGTTGGCTCCTGTGTTGTTTGAAATGTATTTTCTAGGGAAATCTCATGTTTCCATGACCTACTTATTTCTACATACGGTAGTAAAATAATAAGATTAGTGGGCAGTAGATTGGTGCGGTAAAGCTCACAGTAAAGCTGTTTATGGAGTGGATTTTGTTCCATTATTAGAACAAAATCAGAAGGAAAAAAATTTCCATGAATACTACAAAAAACAACAAAGCAGTCTAGAAATAAAAAAAACTTTTACTGTTTTATCTGAGTTTTTTATGTTTTTTCCCAGAATTACAATTTTGTTATCTATTTTTACAGATGAAAACATTTTCAATTATATTTCTAAACACTTTTAGAGAGATTTTATATTTCCAAATTTTATATTTTCATTTTCTCTTTTAAGATTTTATATTCTCTCTTTTTTATTTCCGTTTTTTTAGATTAGGTTTTACAAATTGCATTTGACAGATTACATTGCCCTTGACCAAAAAAAAAAAAAAAAAAAAAAAAAAAAAACAGCAGACCAATAGATATGACCTTCTCCCCGACGGAAAACCCGCACAAGAGGAATAGATTATTTCAGGAGTAAAAAATGCTCTGATCGCTTTCATTTTTTATCAGCTCTTCATCATGAAGTCACATCCGTCTTTCAGCAGACAAAACAAAACAGAGATGTTGGGTTTAAGTCTAAAGAACTTTATGATGTCAGGCCTCATTTTTAATTTAAGGACACCTGCCCACTTGCATCACATTAAATTGAGTAATTTAGGTTTAATTAAGGTAAATTGAACATAATACAGTTTTATATCAAGTAGTATATACACCATATTTATACATGGCCAAGTCCTTTAAGAAATTATAATGTTGAATAAACAATATACATTTAAATAGATCCAAAGGATTCAAGTTATTTTTGTCTATAGTTCTCTTAAAGAAATGTGTTAAAGTCAAGATGCTAGTTTCTTTTTTTAGTGTACTCCACCACCTGCTATTTATATTTATATACTGTTTTATTTTTTAGCATGAGTGGACATGCAGTAAGGATGTGCAAACAAATGGGAACTGACCACAATATGTGATGAAATAAATACAAAAAATCCCCACAAAACACATCAATGCCATCTGGTGGATAAGTTAAGAAAAGTCTGTTTTTCCTAAAAATGTTCTATATATGATCTGGAAACGTTGCATTGGTTTTCATTATCAATGCAAAGGAGAAGCACAGCCATCTGTGATGATTTCCAAGAACTAGGAATTCAGGCACATCTGCTAAGTTTTGACTCAAATCCCTCAAAGGTTTTTCCTATATCCTGCTTGAAGACATTAAATTGAGCAGAACCATAAAAAACAAAACAAAACAATCCTTCCTCCTTTTGCAGCTTTAACCGTTTCAGTACAACGTTTATGATGAATCCCCTTAAAGTGTGGGTGTGAGAGGGAACTCACTGGGTGAATGTCAATGAAAAGGCCATGCTCCTCTTCGGTAGGGCTGAGACCCAACACGTAGTCCAGCAGCGCAGGATCGGCATTGAAGAAGTGAGGATGAGAGATGAAGACGGGGGAATCTAGAAGTGACAAACAACGGTGCAGTTACTTCATAAAAACCACAAAGACCTGAATACTGTAAACCAAAAGTAAAATACAGCAGGAAGTGTGACAACAAATAAGGATCTCCGTTTCCAGTCAGTGTCGATGAACTAGTGCAAGGGGCTGCAACCTGCGGCTCCAGAGCCACATGTGGCTCTTTGGACCCTCTACAATGGCTGTTAATAGTGGCTAAAAGCAACAAATATCTGTCTTAGAAGCTCTAGTGTTTTTTATAAAGAATATCTGAATTTAATTTTCACAACAGAGTGGCATGTAAAGAAAAAAAGAAAAGGAAAAAATGTAGAAATTATGTTTTACGATTATTTTAACTTTAAAACCCACCAGGTGGCCGGCAAACCTTTTTAAAGTCGTAGGGAATCAACTGACCCACGAGTGAACAAAGTGAATGTCTTCGGTCGTTTATCAAGGGGGTAGGATTGTCGTGGCGGAAGGTTCGCAACTTCCACAACATCTTCATCTCAACTATCCTCCTCTAAAAAAAATGGATGACGGAGGAGACTCATCAAAGACCTCCAACACAAAACTCTCCTCCTCTTGCATGTTTCCGCTAACCTGATTCCGCCAGCTGGATTTGCTCCGCATATCCATCTAGAAACCTTCCGTTGAAGTATTTTTGGTAAGGGGCGAAAATACTGGTTAGCTGATTGGCCTCTGTTGGTGACAGACGGGCCAAATAAACCAATCAGATCAACGAAGCATATGACGTACTAACAGAGCGACGACGGAAACACAACCACAAGCCAGGCTACTCTTGCCGAAACCGGTCGGGAGAAGAGCAAAAACATCTTTTCCTCTGAGAAAAGCCTCCAGAGCAGTGTTTTGCTCTTCTTTCAGTGAAGAAATACTCTGTAATTCCGATAAAACTTGCTGGATAGCCACGCTAACGCTAGTTTCATCGGCTGAAGCCGCCATGTTCTTTAGACTGAACTGTCGCGCTTCTCGTTGCGTCACACCTCAACCTGCCTCAAAGCCAACGCTGATTGGACGTTCGTTTGGTGAACGGCTCCAAATTTTCTTTAACGGAGAGTCTCCAGACTGATCTGTGAGTGAAACCTTGAAAGCTCGCGAGATCAGGATGGTCTCACGAGGTTATGTTTCCGCTGTCCATAGCGTTCCTTGACAGTGTCGTTTCTAAGTCACCAATTTAGAATGGAATTTCCCATTGGGAACCTACTACTGTAGCACTAAGTTGCTAACTGGTTAGCAAGATGCTTCCCACAAACCGGCCACAACCAAACTTGCTTGTGAACCTTCCGCCATAACAATCCCGCCCCCTTGATAATCGACCAATAACATTCACTTTATTCACTCATATAAAGTCGTGCACCACGCGGGAGAATTCGGAAATGCAACGATTGGAACAGCAGCTTCTCTATAACTTTAATCTACTCTGCTAACTGCTAGCATATTTTCTATCATGTATGTTGGAAACATTTTGGGTAAAGCCCTCCATGTTTCCATCAACACATCTTTGCTTTCCAAACACACCAGAGAAGTTGCGCTGCTGCGTCATGCAGCACGGCTAAATGGCCGCCATTTAGACGATAAAGAGTTTATCCAGGGTTTATTGTTACGAAAAGAATTACATAAAGTTCATTCTGCTTCCTTGTTGGCATGAAACGGAGTAAATAATTGACCGGAATCTGGATCCTTTTTTTGTCTCTACATGAATTTGTCTAAAACATTCATTTGTCATCAGACTATCCTTTCCTGTAATTAAAAGAAATCAAAAAGTGAATCAAATCAAAACATCTGGAAATTGAAAATGTAAAGACAACATGAATAAATTAGCTTTCTAATGCAATGGTATGTTCTTACTGTGGCGGCAGCTGCTGACATTTAGCAAGCCAGACTGCCTGCAGGGGCAGAAGCCTTCATTTGGAGGGTAATCTGTCCCGTTAGCAAACATGGTGTTAGGTGCAACAAATCGATATAGAGGGATGCCTTGCATCTCCCCAGACCGCTGATAAACAAGCTCCAAAGATCTAAAAAAAAAACAATAAATTATAATACAGGAAATTATACAGGAAGTCAGCAGAAGATTTGAGGCAGATGTGGAGAAAGTATTTGTACCTGCAGGCGTCCGGGCTGTAGAAATTTAAAGTGCTCTCTTTAGTCATGAAAGGTGGCCACAGCTGCCCGGCCGTCCCGTTGATCATGTTACACTGAGGCGTCTTCCAGTATTTCAGCTGATGGGACGGAGGGAATCCACGTAGGTAGGACAAGAACATAATTAGTTAAACAAAAAAATACAATTTAAGGTTACTTCTTTTTAATAGCTTACCTCAGTTAAGCCATTCCAGGAATCAACTTTGTGTACCTTTGTGATGTCATCTTTCCCAGTGTGGATTGTGAATAATCCAGTGTTTGAGTTATTAAACTAAAAAAAAACAGGAAATGAAAACAAAATAAGAAAAAGGAAACACATGGAGCTAACTAAAAAAACACAAGCACATTTTTTTTAAAGCAATGACATTCTCCTTCGTTTTAAGTCGGTTTACTGCACCTTATTGCCCCTCCCCCACCCGCTGCTAAGAACGGTCAGCCACTAGGCCAAGAAAATGCTCCACAACTTTGTTCATGTCTATGCATGAATTGGATCTGTTTGCGAAGAGTTGACATTTGCTCTGAATCAGCAACACAAAATAAAATTGAATGGAACCAAATTCTATAATTTATAAAAGTAGAATGGGAGGCAGATCTTTTAGTTATCAGGCTCCTCTCCTGTGGAACCAACTACCAGTTTTAGTCCGTGAGGCAGACACCCTGTCTACTTTTAAGGCTAGGCTTAAAACTTTGCTATTTTATAAAGCTCATAGTTAGAGTGGCTCAGGTTATCCTGAGCTATCTCTATAGTTATGCTGCTATAGGCTTAGACTGCTGGAGGACATAGGGGCCCCCTTTTTCATCATTCTATCTCTAATGTCCCACTCTGCAGAATTTGTTACCATAGTTCAATCCCTAAAGTTGTGCTCTCACTGCTTCTTCCCATCATAGTAGAAGCTTCATCTGGTCTCATCCTGTTTGGCTGTGAAACCATCCTGGAGAGAAATATCAGCTGTGCTGCTGCCATCAACACCTTTGGTTATAGATGTTGGAGATTGCTGTTTTTCAGTGTGGTCCTTTTTCTCTGACTGTGACTAACTGGATATGTTCTCTTTCTTTCTCTGACATGGGAGCTGTTCAGAGCTCATCTTCCTGGCTGTGTGTTTCCTGGACGGGGGCCGCCTTTTACAGTTGCCTTTTGTATCTCTGCTCTTGTCTCCTTGAACCCCAGTCGGCCTCAACAGATGGCCGCTCACACTGAACTTGGTTCTGCTGGAGGTTTCTTCTTGTTAAAAGGGACGTTTTCCTCTCCACTGTCGCTACAAGCATGCTTCGTGTGAGGGATTGCTGAAGAGTCAATGAATTAATGCAATTGGCTGGTTTTCTTTAGATAAAAAACTTTGAACCAGTCTGACTCGATGATCTGATTAAATTTTAAAGTGCCTTGAGATGACGTGTTGTAAATTGGCGCTATATAAATAAACTTAATTGAATTCCAAGAAAAGAAAAACTCAACCATTTGGAAAAATTCCCAACTGTAAAACATAAATGAAATGAATACTAAACATATTGCACCACTTTGACCAAACCAACACTGTATTGGTCTGTAGTTGCCAAGCTATGAGTGGTCGGTCTGTCTGTCAAGCAGCTCACGTAAAGTACCGGTAACTGCAGATAAAAGCTCGAGGATAGCAACACTAATTACCCAGCAAATATTAACCTGCTAGGCCCACACAGTTATACTCTTATCACATATTTGCTTTGCTTTTAAATGTTAAGTGGGATACGCTGCTTTAGGTAAATAACACCCAGCATTAATGCTGTATATACAGTGGGGCAAAAAAGTATTTAGTCAGCCACCAATAGTGCAAGTTTTCTCACTTAAAAAGATGAGAGAGGCCGGTCATTTTTTAATCATAGATATACCTCAACTATGAGAGACAAAATGAGAAAAAAAAATCCAGAAAATCACATTGTCTGATTTTTAAAGAATTTATTTGCAAAATATGGTGGAAAATAAGTATTTGGTCAATAACAAAAGTTCATCTCAATACTTTGCTATATACCCTTTGTTGGCAATGACAGAGATCAAACGTTTTTTGTAAGTCTTCACAAGGTTTTCACACACTGTTGCTGGTATTTTGCATTCCTCCATGCAGATCTCCTCTAGAGCAGTGATGTTCTGGGGCTGTCGCTGGGCAACACAGACTTTCAACTCCCTCCAAAGATTTTCTATGGGGTTCAGATCTGGAGACTGGCTAGGACACTCCAGGACCTTGAAATGCTTCTTACGAAGCCACTCCTTCGTTACCCGGGCGGTGTGTTTAGGATCATTGTCATGCTGAAAGACCCAGCCACGTTCCATCTTCAATGCCCTTGCTGATGGAAGGAGGTTTTCACTCAAAATTTGACGATACATGGCCCCATTCATTCTTTCCTTCACACGGATCAGTCATCCTGGTCCCTTAGCAGAAAAACAGCCCCAAAGCATGATGTTTCCACCCCCATGCTTCACTGTAGGTATGGTGTTCTTTGGATGCAACTCAGCATTCTCTCTCCTCCAAACACGATGAGTAGAGTTTTTACCAAAAAGTTCTATTTTGGTTTCATCTGACCATATGATATTCTCCCAGTCATCGTCTGGATCATCCAAATGCTCTCTAGCGAACTTGAGACGGGCCTTGACATGTACTGGCTTAAGCAGGGGGACACGTCTGGCACTGCAGGATTTGAGTCCCTGGCGGCGTAGTGTGTTACTGATGGTAGCCTTTGTTACTTTGGTCCCAGCTCTCTGCAGGTCATTCACTAGCCCCCCCCGTGTGGTTCTGGGATTTTTACTCACCGTTCTTGTGATCATTTTGACCCCACGGGGTGAGATCTTGCGTGGAGCCCCAGATCGAGGAAGATTATCAGTGGTCTTGTATGTTTTCCATTTTCTAATAATTGATCCCACAGTTGATTTCTTCACACCAAGCTGTTTACCTATTGCAGATTCAGACTTCCCAGCCTGGTGCAGGTCTATAATTTTGTTTCGGGTGTCCTTTGACAGCTCTCTAGTTTTGGCCATGGTGGAGTTTAGAGTGTGACTGTTTGAGGTTGTGGACAGGTGTCTTTTATACTGATAACGGGTTCAAACAGGTGCCATTAATGAAGGTAACGAGTGGAGGACAGAGGAGCCTCTTACAGAAGAAGTTACAGGTCTGTGAGAGCCAGGAATCTTGCTTGTTTGTAACTGACCAAATACTTATTTTCCACCATATTTTGCAAATAAATTCTTTAAAAAGCAGACAATGTGATTTTCTGGATTTTTTTTTCTCATTTTGTCTCTCATAGTTGAGGTATATCTATGATGAAAATTACCGGCCTCTCTCATCTTTTTGAGTGGGAGAACTTGCACTATTGGTGGCTGACTAAATACTTTTTTGCCCCACTGTAACTGATGCTGTAAAGTGTGACAGCAGCCTTAGTCTTTACGGATCAAAATGGTTAAAAGAAAGATACAACCTTATGAAGTAGACATCTTTCCTTGAAAATTATTCCAAAATTTTACAGCTGGGTACTTCAAATATTTGTTTAAGTGAAGTTTAAAAATATTGTTGCAGATAAAAAATTTCTTAGCCGAATTGGGAAATATTGCTGCTGATTGCACCACCTGTCGCTCATCTGCTCATCAGGAGATCCCTATTTAAGGAGGCAGAGGACTTCTCTCCAGTGCCAGAGTGTTTGCCAGTGACGGTTAGCAAGCCTGAGCCAACCAGCCTGTCTGAACCTCTGACTCCCTGATCCCTGAACCTGATCTGTTTTCTCCTCTCTGCTTCCTAGATTGAATGTGCCAGTAACCTGAAACCCTGAAGAGTTTCTCTGCCGGTGATCTGCCTGCCCGCTCTCAGAAGATACTGAAGGGAAACTCAAATCTGTGATCTGCCTGCACTCAAATCTAGCTCTGCCTCCGCCAAGCTCTAAGCCTACCGACTGCCTCTGGACCCTCAAGGTTCCCCCCCTCAGCTGCTCAGTTCAACTCCAAAACAGGTACTGCCCAGCACGCTCTCATCCTGCTAAATACCTGGACCTCCACTAACCCCTCTGTCCCCCTCTGCAGTGAACCCACTCGTGACCAGTCCCGGATCTGATTTATCTGTGTGCTTTTCAGAACCCACTCGTGACCAAACGAGTTCCCCTCTGGACCAGTTCATTTATTGTGTTCAAACTTCTCAATAAACCTTTGAACTTTTCTACTGCCTCTGAGTGTTCTGCATGTGGGTTAGACACGTTAAACCAAACATGACATATGCATATCTATACACGGAGGAAGCTGTGCGTATTCGCAATAACCTTGTGTCTGGAAGATGAAGCTGATGGGTGATTTTTGAGAGGTGACAAAATAATGCAACAAGCTTCCAGGGTCCTTCCAAAGTAAAGCACGAAAGGACACCATCACTTGCGAGTCCTGAGAGTTCACTGAGGCGGACGGCCACAAACGGCTATTTAAAGCTACAGTGTGTAATTTTTAGCGACATCTAACGTCCAGACTGCAGACCGCAGCAACATGAACATCTCCCCCCCACCGCTTCTCCCCCCAACAGTACGGCGAGCGTTACGGGACAAAATGTCTTCCACGACGTCCGCATCACCTACCTTCTCAAGTGATGAGGTTTGTTTACATAGATAATTTTACAGATAGTATTCTCAGGCATAATACTGCCATCTATTGTTCAATACCGTCTCAGTTCATCTCTCTCAACTTGCCGTAGTTACTTTCGAGCGTAATGGGCGATCTCGCAATCGCTAGTTTGTTGGCTCTGCTCTGCCGTAGCGCAAAGATGTCTGCCTCCATGGCTGCGAGACCCGCTCCTATGTAATTATAAATAACGAATTCTAAGGCAACGCAAATATTAAGGTTAAGAGGCTGAGCTCATAGATGATGATAAATAACATAGTTATGTATAATATATTACATTTCTGACTGTATATCCCTGTAATTATTACACACTGTAGCTTTAAAAAAATGCCAAGTTGGGGTTAAAAGAGGTGATGTGTTGTAAAATAAAAAAAGGCTGCATATTGTACATTCACAGCTGTCATGCAGTTTTTTTTCTAGAAAGCTCCCTGACAAAGAGAGGGTTAAAGCCAAACGCCAATGCGTTCAGGTTTGAGGTTGTGTGTGTACCACAGGTCATAAGGTGCCAAGCTCCGCCCCTTTCCTCCCACCCACCAATAGGCATGGGTCAGTTACCTGAATCAAGGCTTTATAAAGTCAGTTATAAATTATTCGTTCCTACTCTTCATTTTTGGGCCCAATGTCCGTTATAAGAAAAAATGTATAATTCTTGTTTCTCTTCGAGGATTACAATGAAATTAGATATATAAGCTTAGGTTTCAAAATGTTTTTCCATCCTTCCATCTGTGAATGGTCATTTATTATTACAAATTATTATTAACAATGAAGTTAATTTTTTCATAAAAATTTAAATTAATACATTTTTTATTTTGCATTTTTTTTAAACACAGGAAAAGTTTTTTTAATTAAAAAATCTATCAAAACTCTTTAAATGAATGGACATATAAACGCAAACTGAAACCATCCGTTCAAATGTAGACCAACTGATTTTGGCCGTTTTAATTGCTTTATTACCTGCTTTTATCATGGTTTATTTCTTTTTTTCAACTTGCTTTTATTTTCCTTCTATTTTACTGAAATTGGGGAACTGAAAAAGGTGATTACATGGATTTTGTTTATTGCTTAAAGTGTCTTTTCCTTTAATGCATTCACCAAAATATTAGAGGGGAAAAAGTGTTAAACTACTAAAACTAGTTAGGGGCAGATCTTATATGGTCACACTATCGCAGTTTCCTAAAAAAAATTCTATACCCAGAGATTTCTGAAAGGCTACCAATATTTCTAAATCCTGCATTTTTATAGCATAGGATGAAATCTCAAAAGAGTAGAATATGGCAAACTAGCTGTACTTAGTTGAGCTATTCGGTTATCTGCTTAATTTTGCTCTCTCTCACTTCGTCACAGCTGAACTCAATACATGCTTTTTGAGGCAGGAAAATGGTCACCAAATGGAATGGGGGAAAGTTTATAGTCTCCACTCTGACATTTCTAAATTAAAAAAAGATCATTTCTAAATCACTTACAGCTATTGTGCTTTTAATGAGTATTTTTCAGCAACTTTCTGATATTAGCAAAGCTAACTTTAAGCAATATTCACACAGTTACAGCCAGACTTGTCCAAAGTCTCTTATTTTTATCCAAGATATCCGAGAAAATGATTGTGTGACCTGAGTTTTCTTTGGCTATTCAGAAAACAAAGTAGCTCAACTTCCCCCTTCTACTATATATCTACATAATATAGAATATTTGCTAAAAATAATATTTAATAACGCTGTAATAATAAATATAGTAATATAGTAATAGAAACCGTATTTTAGTAGCAGTAGAATGGCTTGCTGCTTTGTAAATTTAAATAAAGAAATTCGATAATGAAATACTTTTTTGTTTTAAAACGATTGACACCATATTCTATCTCTTATTTACCGGCCCATGTCTGTTCTCTACGCCCATGAGTGTTTTCACAGTGTATGTCGCAGCTAATATACGCAACGGTTGAAAGAAGAATCCTTTCCTGTCCCATTGAGTTCCGTCCCAGTGTTCTCGGGGATGGACGTCTGTGTCTTCAGCAGGCGTAGAGCTAACAGAACTGGCAGCGTTGCGAGGCAAGGGCTCAAACATGTACGGCTGGAAGCCTTCTACACCAAACCAAGCTTCTGCCGCCCTGGCGTCCTCTTCAACAACATCTTCGTCTCCTCCTCTTGCATGTTTCCACTGTCCATAGCGTTCCTTGACAGTGTGGTTTCTAAGTTACCAATTAAGTGCTACTTGTTTCCAATGTCATTTCCCATTGGGAACCTACTAGCACTAAGTTGCTAACTGGTTAGCAAGATGCTTCAGACAAACTGGCGACAACCAAAAAGCTTGCGAACCTTCCGCCAAAACAATCCTGCCCCCTTGATGAATGACCAACCACATTCACTTTATTCACTCGTGTAAAGTCGGGTACCACTCTGAAGAATTCGGAGATGCAACGGTTGGAACAGCCGCTTCCCTACAACTTTAATCAGGGTTCCTACAGCATAAGGCACGTTAAATTCAATACTTTTTAATGCCACTTGAAATAAAAATTTAAGACCAAATTCACAAGAAACACAAGAAAAACCTGCTTGCGACAACTTAACCCAAAGGTGTATTTTAACATAAACCACTGCACTAATGTTTCAAATTTTGTAAAGCTTCCCATACAGGAAGAAAGCTAAAAACACACAAATGACAGATATATTTTAACAATTATTTAACTGAATTCAGTTTTCATTACATTTACACTTGCTCACATTTTCCAGACAAAAAGTTAATGGCACATCTCCCAAATGTCCCGGCCGCAACAACACTTTTATTGGTTCCACTATCGGGATGGAACCCATAATGGCGAGCCGTTATTTTTTTTTTTATAAAAAAAAAGTCAATTTTAAGCTTTTATTGAGATTGCAAAAATAAATCGTAATAAAAATAATCCTGTTCATGATGTTTAAAAAATTAAGACCTAGGAAAGACTGATTTAAGAAATTTTAATACCAATTAAGGCCTTAGTTTTATTTTGAAGAATTCAATGCCTTTTAAAGGAATAGTACACCCAAAACATGATTAGCCTTCATTTTCTACTCACCCCCATGCTGAACAACACTCTGGAGTACTTTTTTGATATCTCAAATGCATCTGGAGATCTGGGAGGCTTCTTGCTGTCTGCTGACATTCAAATAATGGAGGTCTATGGCGCCCGAGGCAGAAAGGTCCATAAAAGTCCACAAAAAAACGTGTCAATATTCCTCCACACTGCTCGTCCAATGTATTCCAAGTGTCCTGAGTGGGTAGCGTCCATAATTTACTCGAAACAAAGTCATTTAGAATGTTTTTAGAGCATAAACAGTAGTGTATAGGATTTCCTGAAAGCGTGCGCCTGCGAGATCACGAGTCTACGGAAACTGCGGCAGACCAAGCCTGATGAAAGTGCGCATTCAGCGTCTGCTCTGCCGATAATGCAAGCGTAGAAGAAGAAATTTGCTGTTTACCTGTGCAAAGAAAGAAACAATGAAAGAAAAATGTCTGAGGACTTCAGTGTTGAGGAAGAGCATGAGTTCTTTGCCGAGCTGAATGCGCACTTTCGTCTGGTTTGGTCTGCCGGCTTCCGTAGACTCGTGAACTCGCAGGCGCGCGCTTTTAGGAAATCCTATACACTACTGTTTATGCTCTAAAAACATTCTAAACGACTTCGTTTCGAGTAAATTATGGACGCTACCCACTCAGGACACTTGGAATACATTGGACGAGCAGTATGGAGGAATATTGACACGTTTTTTGTGGACTTTTATGGACCTTTCTGCCTCGGGCGCCATAGACCTCCATTATTTGAATGTCAGCAGACAGCAAGAAGCCTCCCAGATCTCCAGATGCATTTGAGATATCAAAAAAGTACTCCAGAGTGTTGTTCAGCATGGGGGTGAGTAGAAAATGAAGGCTAATCATGTTTTGGGTGTACTATTCCTTTAAGACTTAAGGACCCACAGGAACCCTGTTTAATGACCCGCTGAAACCTTGTATCAAATAAAAAATACATATTTTCATTCAAGGAAACAAGAGCTGAGGAATCTAAAGCTAGCCACGCCTTATCTGCGAATCATACCAATTTAAACCATAGCAGCAGCGGTGGTATCATTACATGAGCACATGCAGCCGTTTTCCTTGTGACTAACATTCAGGATCTTGTTCTTTATCACTCAGCATAGATTATATTTACAGCTAACAAGTATTTACTGCCACTTAACATCCCATGTCATTTTATTCCTTTGATTTATGAGGAAGCACAAACTTCTGAATGCACTCTATAAAAATCACAATAAATAGTTTCTGTCAAACTGCTAAATGACTGAGGGACTAAACAATAATTAGCTTCTTTTCGCTCTTTTGAAGATTAACCTTTCTTATACTCATTTCATATCTGTGTTCTTGTTTTATACATACACGTTTGTGAAAAAACACACATTATGTTTTACTTATTTTCATTCAGCCTATCAAAATCAATCATATCATCTGGATTCAAAAAGTAATATTTATTTACTATAATAAATATTTACATGCGCTGATGTCCTGCTATGATTCTTTCTTCAATAATTAAGAAGCAAAAGGCGTCAGCGAATTTAAAAGGCTGTTCAGTTTAATCAACAGTACATGATTTGATTAATTTGTAATTAATTAATTACAGACCCAGTGATTAACTCAACAAAATATTTTAATCAAGTCCCACCACTGGGTGAAAAAAGGGCAGTTTGAGGCAATATCCTTTAAATCCTGCAGTTCAGGGATGAATATTTCCATTTGGGCCAATTATTGTTTTCTTTTAGTGTTTGAAATGAAATGGAGGACCCCAAGGCTCAAGTCTCCTACTTTCATAATTGAAACATAACTAAAAAAGCTGTTTGTAGGAACTGCAAAAACAATAGAAAAACAAAACCCTCTGCTACAATAGCAGAGCGTTCCATGGCTGGGATTCAATGATAAAGTCACTTTCTGCCAAAGAACACTGCAGCCAGTTAGTGTCGACCAGCTGGGGTGTGGTAGCATTGGTTGGGGAGAGATAAGGAAAGGACAGATCTCTATAGTTTACGTCTGTTTTAACAAAGATATAACAAACGAGTAAAAATCTATAAAATCACCTCTGAAAAAAGGCCAAACTTTCCACTCGCTGGCAGCATCCCCGGCAGGTATTTGTTGAGAAACGCGACCAGATCGCTGTCGTAGCCCCACATCAGTTCTCCCACCGTCTTGGTCAGGAAGGGCCCTTCTTTGAAAGTCTTGAAGGTGGCACTGATCAGCAGCCGCACGGCGTAGGGCATGTCCTCCAGCATCACCGCTGCACCCTACAAGAGGAGGATGCATTTAAGAAAAAGGTAGAAACTAAAGGTACATCTTGAAATTTTGGCGTATCTTCTCTCTCATACCAGCACCAACATGTTGGGGATGGTGATGACATCCGACTCGTTCCCTACAGACATGGAGGGCTCAAAGAAGTATTGTCTGTATTCTTTGTACGACACTGTGCTGTTGGGGTGAAACGTGATGTTCTCCTTCTGACACTGTTTTCTGAAACACAAGAAGGACAAGATATGGAGGGAATTCTCTTCCATTATTCATAAACATAACCAACATGTTTTTAAATTGAAAAGAAAAAAGAGCATTGCACTGCTTTGTTTTAATAATACAAAGAACAATTTTTTCATACCACTTTGTTTGCTATAAAAGCCTTGTTTCACTTTTTAAAATTCAATTAAACAATTTTAGAAAAAACAAAAATCTAATTAAACTATTTGAAAATTATAATTTAAAAAGTTTTATTTGAAAACATAAAATCTGTGTATGTATAATAAGTGATGTTAAATTTGAGTAAAAAGTAAAGACCGGTCAGGGCCCAACTGACACCAGCTGAGGTTCATCCATTTATAGAAATGGCCAAAACGCAGTCACATGGTGTTTCATCCACATGCCTTTCAAATAGAGCTTTGATATTTCTAAAACATGTTTCAAAATTATTTTTTCACAAGTACTTTCTGTTTTATAGCTGTGTAAACAAAAAAAATAAGATTTTAAATTCCACGTGACTTTGCGAGAGTAATGCAACAGCAGGTATTCATTTTTAGCTACAGTCCCTAATGGAAACTAGAGGCTCAGACCTTTTCAAGGAGGTGTCGGCGCTAATTTCAGATGATGTAATCGGTAGTCTTGCACCGATGCCATTTTTGCCCCCGATACCGATACCTGGCTGTGCAGTATTGGTAGATACCGATACCTGCTGGCTACCTTTGTGAAGCACGAAAAAGACTAATACAAAGTGAATCCAGTAGAACTTTTTATTGCCTACCTGGAATGGGTGACAATATTTGAATAATCTTTTGGCTCTCAAAATAGTATCAGTGCCCTATTTGTTGGTACTCGCCGATACCGATACCATCATTTTAGTGCTGGATAGGGGCCCCGCCTGATACTGCATCGGTAACCTGACTCCGCCAGATGGATTTGCTCCGCATATCCATCTGGAAACCTTCCGTTGAAGTAATTTTGGGAAGGGGCGAAAATACTGGTTAGCTGATTGGCCTATGTTGGTGATAGACGGGCCAAATAAACCAATCAGATCAACAAAGCATATGACGTACTAACAGAACGACGACGAAAACACAACCACAAGCCAGGCTACTCTTGCCGAAACCAGTCGGGAGAAGAGCAAAAACATCTTTTCCTCTGAGAAAAGCCTCCAGAGCAGTGTTTTGCTCTTCTTTCAGTGAAGAAATACTCTGTAATTCCGATAAAACTTGCTGGATAGCCACGCTAACGCTAGTTTCATCGGCTGAAGCCGCCATGTTCTTTAGACTGAACCGTCGCGCTTCTCGTTGCGTCACACCTCAACCCGCCTCAAAGCCAACGCTGATTGGACGTTCGTCTGGTGAACGGCTCCAAACTTTCTTTAACGGAGAGTAGCCAGACTTATTAGCGAGTGAAACCTTGAAAGCTCGCGAGATCAGGATGGTCTCACGAGGCTACTGTATCGGTGCAACACTAGTAACCGGCATGCCTTACATAAGCCTGCTCTGTTATTTTTATTTTGTATTCACTTTGGTGATATCATTGGTATATTCCAATGAAACAACGGCTAAATCTTAGGAGCAAAGGCTTTGTCTTATGCAGATGGTCTCCAATAATGTAAATCAGCATATTTGTCTGACCAGATTCCCTTTGAATGAGTGGAAAAATGCGTTTTTGCACATTCCCGCCTAGCACACTGTCCACTAGAACTTTGGTGGAACAAACATGTTTGTTATTCAGTCCAAATTTGCTTCAGTTATATCAAAGATGCAGATCTATAAAGTCAGAGGCTTCATCCAGAGTTTCAAATGGAGTTTCATGCTGTTTTGAAATGTTTATTTTGGGGAAAAAAATTGGTAATGCTTAATATTTTTCTTTTTTTCTTTGTTTAATTACCTATAAATCAGACATGGCGACATTTTAAATAGTGGTTCCACCTGAATAATATTCCTTAATGCCTTTCTGTCACACAAATACAAACAATTGTATTTCCAATTTATAGTTTGGGAGCTCTACTTGCTTTAATTCACAGATGTTATTTCAACTAGAATTTTCTCCTAAGAGCCTCCGGGCTTGAGTGGTTTTAAATGGGCTTTTTTAAGTTTTACTCATAGATTACATGTATTATTTTTTTTCAAAAATTCTATTTAAAAGCTTGTTCTTTGCTTGCAAAAATAATGGATAAAAATTTACTCCATACTCCAACATCTGAAATGGTGAAAAAGATTTAAAGTCTGTGGTTCAAAGTACATTTAAAACACAGAATCTCTTTCAAGCGATAAAGATGATAGAAGATAAGATTATAAAGGAAGTAAGAATGATTAGGAGTCCAGTAAGATGGAGGGATGATTACCTTGGACCCAATTTAAACTAAACAAATCAATGAAGAATCATTTTGATGTTGTAATCACATATTTGGTTTAACTTCTTTTTTTACTCTATAAATATCTCTGCTGGTAAACATAATGACCTAATGGCCAATTACCAATATAATCTAAAGAGAACTTCACAGTTAAAACATCTTCATATCAGCATCTTGTTACCTTTTTAAGGGCAACACTCAAAAGTTCGTTTTTTTTCTTCTCATTTCCATAAGTTTGCTAATTTTACTATACCTAATATATCTTATATGAATCAAAGGAGATCTTAATTTTCTTAAGCCAAAGTTAACGACGCCTCCTGCAGTGCCCACTTGGGTCACGACCCCCAAGACCATTGTTCTATAATTTCAGTGACATCCGGGTAGAAGTGCACGGCAGTCAGAGGAAAGGATTTAGCCGCTCAGGTCCGAGCTAATCAGGCTGGTATGAGGCCGACCGCCTATTTTCTGAAAACGTTTCAACACCTGTCCAGGAGTCTCTGTCAAGTAAAAAAAAAAAGCCTGTTTCAAAATGTTGGATTGAGGAGGTAAAAAGTGACATTTTGCCAATGGAACAAGACAATTTACACTTAAAATAAGAAAACACAACTGCATTGTCTTATTTAAAGTGCATATTATCTAATTATCTTATTCTAAGTGTAGAAATACTCATTCCATTGGCAAACTATCTCATTTACCTGCTCAAATTAAGGGTAAATACACTTAATTTATGAAACATTTACTTATTTCTAGATCGTTTTTCCAGTGCTCCAGTGAACAGTCATTATTTAAATACCAGATACTACACTAGACAAACAGTCTAGAAATAAAAAAAAAATGTCTTTAAATTCAGTGTATTTACCCTTAATTTCAGTAGGTAAATGAGATGGGAAATGGTTGGAACAGATGCAATGGTTGGAACAGTTATTTCCATTCGACTTTATGTGACTACATGTCCGATGATAACGTCACGCAATACATTGGAGAGAATGTAAAACGTATCCATTTCTTCCAGAAAAGTCTTCAATATTTTCTATACAATGTAGTTTAGCATTCTTTAATGTTTTAAGTATATAAAAAAGTATTTTCAGTACCGTTATGTTTTTGGCGATCCGGATCTTATTATTCTGTTCGGGCATGCGCAGGACGGATCATGCTTCCTGGACGGATCGGGTAGTGACACCTGGCCGCTGTGACAGCAAATCCCATAATGCTTTGTGAGGAGAACTGTCTGCACAAAGCATTCTGGGATATATCTGCCTCTTCTGAGGCCTTTCCTTTAGTCTCATACACTTCATAGCCAGTTTGGCCGTTTCTCTAAATGTGTACTTGTGTGTTCTCTTGTGCTTATGAAACATCATCAGCCTCAGCCCTAGTACTGTTCCAATTCACAAGAACAAGAAGACTGACAACGGATGTTGTTCTCGCCCCTCCCTATTTACCCAGCATGCATCAGAGCAGACTTGTCCGTTCTTGAGATTGACAGCTGTCCCAGCATGCACTGCGGCAGCGGCAGCTTTTAATGGAGCGCTAACAGAGCTCAGAGTATTAAGATTAAAGTTCTTTTTTCTGTTGCTGTTGTTCAGTAAAAGTATCACTATATGGTCAATTTACCGATTTAATGTGTAATTTTAAAAAAATGCGGCAACCAGCGGACCTTCAAGGCTAACGGCATCCAGGTCTAATCCCAGCCCGTCTGCAGCAGCCCTCTCTCTGCATAGGCGTGTGAAAGATCGTTGGCTCTGATGGCGAGTTTTTTTGTTTTATTTGGCAAAATGTTCATTCGATTTGTGTTTATCTGACTGTGTTCACTATTATTCCAACACTAAATTTAAAAAGTAATAATTTAATATTATTAGTTAGAGACTATTAATAACAGGAGCTCACCACAGATATATGCCTGAAAGTGTGCATGCACAGAAAAGATAGCTAACGGGACGAGCATGTAGGACAGCCTTACGTAAACATGTCACCAGAATGATTGACAGTTAGGAGAACCACTATTTAGATGATCCACCTGGAAATAAAAGATCGTCCCCTAACATCAGTTTTTCAGACTTACATTTCAGCTTTTTGTTTTTGTCCAGCTTAACTATATCCTCTTCAGAAAGAAACCGCTAAGCTGTGCTACGAATTTGACATATGATATATGAAAAAAACAGAAAATAGAAACCATTTGTACTTATTGCTTTCTCTGTATTCTCGATCTGTCGTCCAGAGTCAAGAAAGAAAATGAAAACACTTTGGCCCATTTTTATGACGTTTTTTTTTTTTTGGCAGAGTTGTGAGACTTACTATTTTTTTGGTGCCTTATCTTAAAACGACAGCCGGCTAAAGTCTGAAGATTTGCAAATGATTTTTGATAAGGAGCCAATCAAACAGCCATTTAAAAACAGCCCAACCTTCCAGAGCTGTGAGTAAATCAGTCAATATGTAGTTTAACTTTATCTGCAGAGTACCTCATTTAATTCCAGTTTTTCACTTTATTGATAAAGAGCCAATTCACAACACGTCATCTTAAGCCAGAGACAATGTAATCAGAGGCTTATTGATTGATTCAATGCTCAGCTTTTAATTTGCCTACTGTCTGAATTAGAAACCAACATGTCTGCTATAAGGAGCCACTTTTAAATGTAAGAAGAGCTTTGTTAGAATCATGTGTGGTTTCCTTTGTTAAAGACATCTATTGTATATAAAGCTTCCTGCTCATTATGTCATAAAGCAGCAGTCAATTTCTACAATTTTCAATTTACTGATTAAACACATTGTTCCAGTTCTGTTGCACTTTCCCATCCGTGCCAGACTTGGACAGAACCTGACAGCAAGAGTTAAGATAACGGATGCAGCGATCTACATTTTCTCACTTCTGATCCGTTCACAGAAATTGGGTTTCTGCCCATACCAATATTTTCCGATGCTATTTTTTTTTTAAATATCCTCATCATATTGTCGCAAGAGATTAAAATGTCTTTTATTAATTAATTTTTTGTTTTACAGATTTTATATTTTGCTTTTTTGTTTTCAAAAACTGCATTCTTTTTTAAATGTTGTTTTATATGTCACATTCTCCTCCCTTTAAGCCCAATGCGCGCATTGACCTACAAAAATATTGCTGCTATCATCCTGCAGACCTCAGTCCAGATAAAGGAGTTCCCAGAAGTGAAGAGAAAGTGATTTGTAAATTAAATCTAAGAAAAAATTATAATAATAGGTGAAAATACAATTTATGTAAAAAAAATAAATAAATAAAACAAAAGTTTAAAAAAATACATTTGAAAAAAATATTAATTTTTGTGGAAAAAAACTAAATCTGAAAGGAAAAAAAAGCAAAGTTATTCCCCAAAATGTATTTAATTAAAATAATTTTCAGTTTTAATTCTGGATTACATTTTTTTAAATATCAATTCAAATGTGTTTTTTGTGTAGAACAATAATGTAACAAAATTCACTCCACAGTTATCTCTAAATGCAGAAAGCAATAAACAGTGATGGACCGTCCTAACACTGGCTGTCCTGCTGTATTTAAAGCTACAGAACTGGATTTTTATTCACTAATATTTCCAGACACCTAAGGATGTCCTCTGCATAGAGCAGATAGAGGACCGTTACCAGGGGCAACAGGACCTGGAGGGTTGTAGAAACAGTTTATCCAAATTTATTAGCAAATTCTGACATATCGGGAAATTTATTATTGCTGTACATTTCTTTAAGAAAAGTTATTTCTTTAATAAATGTTAAATGACTTAAAAAAAACAGCAGGATCATTTTTTTAAATAAAAAAAATGTCTCATTCATGCATGACAGGAAGTCACTCGCTTCAGTCAGCAGAAATTGAGGTCACACAAGCCGCTCTCGTTTGTTTCAAAATAAACAGCTTGCTTTAATCTCACACCAGGCAGATCGGGCTATGCTCAACAGAAAGTCAAATACAAATCTCATCTCTAAGAAATACAAAGAAACCTACAGTTAAACTAAGTAAACCTCTAGAATAAACCTGTTCACTCCGCAAGCATTCAGCATAAAACATGTTTAGTTGCTGCAGGCTGCATGTCAAGCAAGCAACATGCAGAAGTAATCTGTATTTTGGCAGCGACGCTGGCAGGGAGCAGGCTGAAAAACACTGCGTTCCTTTCCAGCCTAAACATGTTCTAATAAATAAACCCAAACATGCTGAAGGTTGCTTTGTTTTCTTCCACCTGATTAAAACTGGAGCATGGAAATGGAGGACGGAAAGCATCCAGAGGTGTAAGAGTGAGGCGTGGAGAGGTGGAGTGTTATACCTGTACACATAAGGTCCTCTCTGCTCCACCATGGGCTTCTCTCCTTTCAGGATCTCTTCAGGATTGAGGACGTGAAAAAAGTAGACGGACATGAAGAAGGGCACCGGGAGGTCCCTCCACATGGTGTAGGAGAGGTCATTCTTTGGATCAATGATGGTGTTCTGACAGGACAGAAAGAGAAAAAAAATGTCATTACTAACATTTCAATCAATTCAGCTTGATCTTTTATTCTTACTCACATTATTTCTTAATAGCAACAATATGTAACATTTGGCCACTAGGGGCGCTAGATCTGTAACTTCCCATTCTAGTGCTCCTGAAAACAACTGGTCATAAAATAACCAGTATACTTTGGTGTTTTGAAACTGATACCAGACCTACGACGGAGTCTTAAGATTAGAGATTTTTATTTTTTTGAGAATAGTCACAATATTATGAGAATATAGTCATAAAATTACAAGAATCAAGTTGTAACATTACGAGAATAGCGTCGTAAAAATTACGAGAATAAAGTCACAACAAGAATAGTCATAAAATTACGAGAATAAAGTCATAAAATTACAAGAATAAAGTTGCAACAAAAATAGTCATAATATTACGAGAATAAAGTCGTAAAATTACGAGAATAAATTAATAAAATTACAAGAATAAAGTTGTAACATTACGACAATAAAGTCATAAAATTACGAGAATAAAGTTGCAACAAAAATAGTCATAAAATTACAAGAATAAAGTCGTAAAATTATGAGAATAAAGTCGTAAAATTATGAGAATAAAGTCGCAACAAGAATAGTCATAAAATTATGAGAATAAAGTCATAAAATTACAAGAATAAAGTCGTAAAATTACGAGAATAAAGTCGTAAAATTACGAGAATAAAGTAAAAAAATTACGAGAATAAAGTTGCAACAAAAATAGTCATAATATTACAAGAATAAAGTCGTAAAATTATGAGAATAAAGTCGTAAAATTACGAGAATAAAGTCGCAACAAGAATAGTCATAAACTTATGAGAATAAAGTCATAAAATTATGAGAATAAGGTTGGAACAAGAATAGTCATAATATTACAACAATAAAGTTGTAAAATTATGAGAATAAAGTCGTAAAATTACTAGAATAAAGTCACAAAATTATGAGAAATAAGTTGTAACATTACGAGAATAAAGGCTTGCATAACAGTTGCAATGCTAAAGTATGGAGGGCGTTTTGTTCGGCTATTGCTGTGAGAAAAGATTATAAAATAAATGTATTAATTACTTCTTTATTTCCTAAAAAATATCATTGTCTATTAGCTGACCTTTCAAATAATTAAATGTTACAAATATGCCACTAGAAAGAAATATTCCTGACTGCAAATATTCTCTAAATCAATCAGTGGGAAAACTGACTAACATTGGCGAAATGTGATGGAAAATATATTATTAGTTTTTTTTTTATTGTTCTTTTTTTCTATTTTTCGCTTTTATTATCTGGAAATTATTGTTTTATTTACTTTCCTACGCAAAAAGTAATAGCTTAAGAGAAACACATCTGCAAGGTTAGACTGACGCTTAGCTTACTGACTCTACCGTAAGATGTTTGAAGGGAAGGCTAAAAGTTATTTAATGTCCATCTATTAGTGGGAACTGTAATGTAATGAGTTTTTATTGCTAAAGCTGAACCTGAAACCCTCCCAGCACTTTGCTCCAGTTTATTCTGTTAATTAAATCCTTTGTTTTAGCCAGAACAGATCATGTTCCCCCATTCTTATAAACTAAATAAAGTATTACATTTTTGTTGTGTTTTCTGTATAATAAAACGGTTATATATTGAAGTAACTTTTTTTTTTTTGGATGACCTCACCTCCCTTGAACTGAGGAATATTACCAATTGATTGTATAACTTAAAACACAAAACCTTCCTAATACATTTACACAAAAGTTTTAGAGTCCACAATTCTAATCTGCTGAGGTGGTTGTGAAGATGAACTTTGGGAATAAACTCACACTAAGCGTGTTGCATGTGGCCTGGCAAAGTTCAGTTGTGCAACCGTTTGAACTATAGAGAGGAGATAACTGCTCAACCAGTCAGATGTCATCGCTTAGCAGATTAGCTTTTACCCAATATATATATATATATATATATATATATATATATATATATATATATATATATATATATATATATATATATATATATATATATATATATATATATATATAATATACACATTACACATACATACATATACACATGTATATTTTATTACATTATTATTAGGATATTAAACAAGCAAATTTCTGAATCTATATGGCTGTAGTATATAATAGTCCTGCACGCGCGTGTTATCATGTACCGTTTGCACGCGCGCTTATCTGCAGCTATTTAAGACTCAAAGTTTGACATCAGGTTAATCAGCATATAAAAAATACCCACTGTTATTATGCTAAACGGGAATGCAAAACAACAACAACAACAACATAGAGGTTCCTTACCTTTACCACTTGGTCATCGATGATTATTGGACCCACAAAAACCAGACCGGTACCAAAGAAAACGATCAGAACACCAACTACTATGAACCCCACTGAGACTTTGGATTTATCAACTGCCATCCTGACACTGACAGCTTCACACCACTGGCTTTGTTTACGGCGGAGCAGCTTTGTCTGCACGCTATTCAGCTGTGCCGCTGAGCGACCTGTAAACCAACTAAAGAAGACTACAAGAGAACAACTTCATTTTTAGGGGTTAAAACCTGACGTCTCACCGGCTCCTCTATCACCTCAGTGATGATAAACCATTTGGACCTGAAATCCACGTCCCCGTATTTATGATCTGAGAGTAACGCCTCTACGCCGCGGAGCATTCTGGGAAATGTAGTCCCTGCAGGTTAGGCTTTCAAAACGTGGGTTCTAGGAATGAAACGCTTATACTCAAAAGGAGAACAAATATGATTCAAACTTTTACCATTTTATTTGTAATTAGAATGGCCTAATTTTGATAGATAGATAGATAGATAGATAGATAGATAGATAGATAGATAGATAGATAGATAGATAGATAGATAGATAGATAGATAGATAGATAGATAGATAGATAGATAGATAGATAGATAGATAGATAGATAGATAGATAGATAGATAGATAGATAGATAGATAGATAGATAGATAGATAGATAGATAGATAGATAGATAATTATTATTATTATTATTATTATTATTATTAAAGTATTCAATTCAATTCAATTCAATTCAGTTTATTTATATAGCGCCAAATTCACAACACATGTCATCTCAAGGCACTTTACAGTTCAACCAGATCATACAGTCAAATTGATACAAAGTTTTCTTCATATAATATTCTAATTTTCTGATATGATGAATTTGAGATTTTCATTTGTTGTCATTTGTAATCATCAAAATTAAACAAAATAAACATCTGAAATATATGAGTTTGTATGTAATGTATGAATATAATATACAAGTTTCACTTTTTAAAGGGAATTACTGAAATCAATCTACTTTTTCATGATATTCTAATTTTATGACCAGCACCTGTATGTTCTACATCATGTCAACCACAACTGCAGAAAGTTTCAGACCCCTAAGTATAACATTTCCACAGCTGTGGGGCTTTGAATTTTTGGTGTCCCCAGCAGCTCTGAGTTGTTAGTTGTAAAGGTACAGGTGGATTTTGAGAGGTTAATATATTTTTTATGCTTTTAATCAGGGGTGTCAAGTAACAAAGTACAAATACTTCATTATTGTACTTAAGTACCCCTTATAGGTATTTATACTTTATTCCATTACCTATTTTTCTTCCTACTTCTGACTTCTACTCATTACATTTTCCCACAAGTATCTGTACTTTCTATTCCTTACATTTTTAAAACAAACGTTACTCTTGGCTTCAGTTTTTCTGTTTATAAATATTTATTTCACGTCATGTGCACCATCCAATGCAGAGCATTGGCTCCATCCACATCTAGTGAAAACTAGTGTAATTGGATGAGTCATAGAATGCAAACACTCATTGGTTAGCTAAAGGAAATCATCAGAAGCAAGCAGGTGTTCTTCAAACTGTAAACGTGAATTGTCTATGCCATGCTACAATGTTGGATTCAGAAAAAGATGTTGAAATGTCTGAAAGGTCGGACACAGGCGAGAGCGTATCGGGAGATGGAGACCAACAAGACCCCCCTTATCCTTGGCCCGATCTCAAAGAATTATTCGAAATAGTCGAAAAATTGAGCTTTCTGTTCATATAGTGGCATCTGGCTGTTTTTTTTTTTTTTAGTTACATTATACTTTAAATCATTAAGTAGTTTTTGGAGCACATACTTTTTCACGTTTACTTGAGTAAAACTGCAGTATCTATACTTCTACTTAAGTAACAAATGTTTGTACTTTTGACACCACTGCTCATATTACTTTTTTTTCCCCTATGGTATGGAAGTTAGTATGGAGTATCAAATATTATTCAATATCTACATTCAAGTTTTACTATCGTTATAACTTAAAATTATTTACACATATGATTTTTGGTTAAATTCTGTTTACAGCTGTAGAGATGTGAGCTCTTGTTTTAATTGCTGCGTTTTTTTATGTGGCAGTAGGATTTACAGTTGAAGCTGGCTAGGATGGAGCTAAAAGGTGCTCACTTGTTTGTTAGCAAAATAAAAATAAAAAATAATCACACCAATTCAAATTACATATATCTGCAGCTGAGATTTCAGAGAATATTAAGTCACCAATAATTAAGGTAAACCTCATGTAAGTTTATGAATCAATCTCTTAGGCTGTCAAAATTTCCATAAATCTTCATTAAAATTAAACTTAACAAAATAAATATTTAATGAGACCATGGCAAAAAAAAGGAACTTAAAGTTCAGATTTTAGAGACTTGCAGTCAGTTTCATCAGAATTCATTTTGATAACTTATAGCAAAGGGACTCTAATAAGTTTCATTCCTCAAAATTGTTTTTTTTTTATGTGTGTAGGTACTTTTAAAATTAGAGCAACAACAAAAGTTTTTAATGAATTATATAAAATGAATGATAATATCAGGAATTTAATAAATATAATATTATTGTGAATTAATCTTAGATAATATTTCCACTATAAAATGTATGTCTATTTAGTTAAAAGTTCAGTTTTTAAATGTTTTTAAAAAATGTAGAAGAAGATTTCAACGTGCTTTTTAAAACAAAAATGCATATTTTTTTCCTGAGGCTTTTCTAGGAATTAACTTAAAATAAACTCTCTGTAATAAAGTTTATCATAGAGAAATAAGCAGACTTCCCAGTCAAAAGTAAAACTCACCTTTTCTACCTCGTTCTTCATAACTGTCGGCCCAATAATTGCTGTAATTATCCCAAACAGCAGCATCAGAACGCCTGCCACTATGAATCCAATGGCTATTTTAGATTTTTCAATGGCCATTTTTAACAACTATTTTTTTGTGTGGTACAAATAAAAAAAAGAGAGTACTGTTTATTAAGCTCCAAGCATGGATAACGATGCAGTCACAGGAAAACTGCTGTTGGGCGGTTTGACTTGTTATATACTCAGCAGACCCTTCCACACCCTCACATCCTTAGCCACATCCTTCACCCTATTTTCATGTCCAAATCCATGCAAATTCATCTGAGTCACATTTCAGTCAGATGACTGCCCTGTTTCTCAATGATTTTTAGGCAACTGTGTTTTAAAAGGTTTACCTAACTTGATAGAGCTGACGCTGCTGCGTATCTGTTGGTTCGTTTATCAGATGAACGTTGAAACACCAGTTAGCAAACAAGAAAACAGATAAGCTGACCCAAGTAAAGAGGGTTGCACAAAGGACTTTATAAAAGTGAATCAGTTCAGCACAAAGACAGATAAAGCAGACTTTATGTAGTCAGGAAAAACACAGCAGGGGGCTTTATTTTTAAGGCTGCTGGAGAATTAGTTTTATTCCAACAAATATCTGTTTGCTGACTGAATGGAATCAGAAAAAGCTTTACTGTTGTTTTACGCTTATAGGAATTTGCTCTGGTGATAACATAGACAAACATAAAGTAGACATGAGTACTTTGGAAAACAACATGATATAAAGCAATGCAAGCTGTAGAGGAATAATTAGTGAACAGAGAGGACCAGTGCATTTTCTGCAGAGAGAAAAAAAATGTGGAAAGTATTAAAAATATACAGTAAATGTAAAGGAGGGAGTAGCTTCTTGTTTCTAACCCAGGAGGTCTGCTGGAGTTTTACTCAGGAACTTTGATTCCTCAATCAATGCAAAGCAACCGCCCCTGGAATTCGCTCCTCTCTGCAATCGTTAGCTGGACACTGGATTTTTCCAGCATTTTTTTTCTCCATGTTACTGGGATTTATCTTAATTCTGCAACGAACATGAAGCTCAGCATCCCAAAGTCTACCGGAATAACTTCTATCTAAAGGTGTTAGTTTTTTGTTTTTTTTTTTCCCATTAACTTTCCCAAACAAAAACAGGAAATATTCCCTCACATCATACTTTCTGTAGATGGGTGACTCTGGCAGTAACTGGTAGATGAACATTAAACTATTGATTTGATCATTTTTGATTAGTTCACACAGCACTTCTCTATGTTTCGAGTGAATTTTGTTCCATTATTGTTGTTAAGCTCAAGTCATAAAATTACAAGAATAAAGTCACAATTTATTTGTCAAATTATGAGATTACAGTTACAACATTATAAGAATAAAGTCTTAAAATTACGAGAATGAAGTCGCAACGACAAAAGTAATAAAATTACAAGAACCAAGTTATTATTACAACAATAAAGTCATAAAATTAAGAGAATGAAATCCTAACAATAATAGTCATAAAATTACGAGAATAAAGTGTCACAAAATTATGAGAAAATTCATAAAATTACAAGAAAAGCAATAAAAGTTAAAAGAATCAAGTTGTTAAATATATATATATATATATATATATATATATATATATATATATATATATATATATATATATATATATATATATATATATATATATATATATATATATATATATATATTTTTTAACAACTTGATTCTTTTAACTTATATATGTATATATATATATATATATATATATATATATATATATATATATATATATATATATATATATATATATATATATATATAAATGGACACTTTAAGCCCAAATTACATGTGAGACACATCATTTGAAAGCTACGCCTTCTAGTTTCTTAAAATATAGATCTTTTTGAACAGCAGTAATAGAGAACATGCTTGAAAATAGGGATGTCTCATTGTATTACATTTGTTTTAAATTATTGTTGTAAAGAACATGTTTTGTAAATGGAAATTAAAAAAGTTTCCAGAAAAGGGGGTAGAGGGAACAAAATGAAAATCAATTTTTATAAACGGAAATCTAAACTGAAAACAGTTATTGTCCAATTGCCACAGGGGTCATGAAGGCGCCAGGCTCCCTTTGCTATGGACAAAATAGGCAAGCATAGCGTGAGGCCAAAACCCAAATCTGTAGAGACATAATTGCAAAGTTCAAGGTTCTCTGAGAGATGATCAATCATTTTATGTCTGAGATACATTGCTTTCAGACAGTCAGCAGTTAACCACGCATAATCCTGAAATTTCATGACCCAGTTAGACTGAAAACCACTTAAAACATTTTGAAGGAATGACGTCTGAGGTGCACTTTGTGGGCTACAGTTGGAGACTTATTAGGAGGTTAAGAAGACCATCTGATGGTATCACACAGAACTCCATTAATGCCTTAATGCCATGTTTAATGGAGTCACATGACATTTCCCCCCAAACACCAGATGTGATTGAGATGTTGGTTTTTAGGCTAAATGTAGTCAGCCTGCCATAGTCTTGATTAAGTCCAGAAATAGTTGTTGAAAATTGGGCTGTGTTTGGTCGGTCTGATTTTGTCCCAATTTAGTCCATTGATGGAGTTTGCAAACCCAGTTCTCAGTGTCATAACCAAACCGGTCATGCTAAAGGATGTTTCAGGCAGCAGATCACACTCCATGGTTCCTTCAGACTCTGTGACGTCTGTCACAGAGTCTGGTGTTCTCTGGCAAATGTCAAACATCATGCAAGGTTTCGGGCTGTGTACACAATCATCATCTGTGGATGCCGGGCCCTCATACCATCCTTAGGAAGTCGGTTTTTAACCGCTTTTACAGACACATGCACATATGTGGCTTGCTGGAGTCATTTGCAGGGCTTTGGAAGTGCTGTTCCTGTTCCTCCTTAAACAAATGCAGAGGTAGCGGTCCTGCTGCTGGCTTGTTGCCCTCCTATGGCCCCCTCCATGTCTCCTGGTGTACTGGCCTGTGTCCTGGAAGCAACTCCAGTCTCTGGACAGTATGCTGACAGACACAGGAAACCTTCTTGCCACATTAATGTCCCGTCCTGGATGAGCTTCCATAGCTGAGCCACTTGTGTTGGTTGTAGAGTCCGTCTCATGCTACCACAACTGTAAAAGTTCAACCAACATTCAAGTGACCAAATAATCAGTCACAAAGCATAGGTCCTGAGAAGTGATATGTGGTCCCCACCTGCAGAATCACTCCTTTATTTATTTGTTTATTTTAACAGTGCCCTGTCTGGCAATAAGAATAATTGTCTTGATACCAAAAAGAGCCCAACAGATTTTGCTTTCACAAGTGGAGCAGTACGGCTATCGCAATAGTGTTCCACTTGATTTAGGCATATAAATAGCTTTATTATAATTCATAAAGGGAGTATCATTACAGAAAAAGGGAAACAGAAAAAAAGATAAAAGAAAGAGGAGATAAATGTCATAAAATGCGTCAGATGGACCCGGTACTCAAGGTGAGACAGTCAGTAGGAAAGTTCAAAGTGTTTATTAAGTGAAAACCAACAAAACTAAAGTGAAGCTGCTAGGATCTGCGGCTCGCGGATACTGCAGGAGGGGGGCGGGGAACCACCCAATCTCAGACACTCTGGTGGGAGAAACACAGGTAAGTGACCATGATAATCTGACAGAAGATGATTGCAGTGAGTCACTTACCTTGTTCAACAGTCCAGTCCATCTTCCTGGAAAGGGGCACAATCCAGCCGCTGGACTGAAGACAGATGCGGCATGCATCGCTGAGTGTCCATGGTGCAGCAGAACTTGCAGGAAGCTGATCCTGGACAGGGATTCAGAACAGGCAGGAACAGACAGAACGGGCAGGATCCAAGCCTCCAGGCATCCTAGAGCTCCAGGCAGGTTCAGAGTCCAGAAGCATGACCAGGCGGACACACACAGAAGCAGACAGGATCAGATGCAAACGGGCAGGCTCAGTGGAAGAGGGTAGCCGAGGCAGGAGGGGAACCAGAACTTGAGCAGGACCTTTAAACTGGTCTCCACCAGTTACTGGTTTACTGGTTACCAGGCTTACTGGAATAAAAACTGAACCTCCCCACATATAGAGCCAAAAACCCAGAGGACTCTGCAGGGGAGGAACAGTGGACGAACAGGACACGAGACAAACACAAAACCCCATTTCCTGTGGCCGCCAGGATCCAGGACATGAACCGTGGCATAAACTGAACAGACAGACAAACAGAAAACAAATTATGATCTGGCCCCGGATGCTCAGGCTGAACAGAATATAAACCAAAGGAAACAGGTGAGAGGAATAAATGATAATTGCTGCAGGGAGGGAAAATGGCAGGTGAAAGAAATAACCAATTAAGGTAGAGCAATCGGGCCAGATCATGACAATAAAAGGGAGATAACAATAAAACATCTTCAGTCTGCTTCATCACCTGCAAAGAGATGTAAAAAGAACAGCATAACCAACAGATAAAGTATAAGAGATACAATAAAGTAGCACCTAGATACTGTCGCCTGAGTATAAGTAGTATTATTTAATCTGACATGTATACTGTGGTGGCTGAAGATCAGAATATGGGTTTTCTGTATGGAAGTGAATCTCTAAGTACCTGGAACCAAGCACCTGTAGTTGTTTGTGAAAGTGCACTTGTGCATGTAAAGTTTACCCAAAGCAAAAAAGCTCAATAGTGGTTGTGAAGGGCTGAAGACGTGCCCCTCCAGAGCACCGAGGCAAGCACCAGGGCACCCAAAGCCCCAGACGCCTAAATGGACCCCAAGTGCAGAGGTGCCCGGAGGTACCCAGGAAATACAACCCCCGCACCAAGGGAGGAGGAGAGACGACCCCGAGGAAATCCCCCAGCCACCGCAACGGTGACCAGGCTCCGCCGTCAGCCAGCCACCTCAAAGTGGATCTGGCCATAGACCCCAGGGACCAAAGGCACCAGGGGTGCCCCAAACCCTGGCAGGAGCCCCAGCCGGGACCAGGGGATCCGGGCCCCGCAGAGTAGCTGTCAGGAATAAGCCAGTACCCGCCTGGGCATCTACCCTCAAACACAGAGAACCACCAGTGTACTGGCAAGCCCAGGCGCCAGCCAGCGGAGGGAAGGCAGAAAGGGGGGGAATGGGCTCCGCACTTAGCATAGACTTGAGATGTTCTTGGGAGAGGGAGCAGTTCAGACCCGAACCTGACAAAT